TTCAAGCTGGCTTGGCAAGCATCATATAACCCTTTAGCTTTTCTTATTGGGTATAATGATATGCTTTAAAATGTGCCCAAATATCAGAGGCCTTTTTCTGTTACAGAAATTTTTGTCAGGTTTGCCTGCAGCCTTTTTGGTAGCTGCTTTGATCTTTTTGCTGTGTCCTGATTGTCAACTTGCGTGTGTGTGTGTGTGTGTGTCCCTTTTGTCTGCGTATTTATGGCTTGCCTGCCCAGTGGGTCGTTAGTTTTTGTTTCTATGCGACACTTTGCACGCCCCAACGCTTTTTATGGCCTTTTATGGCATTTGATTGCTTCATCCTGATGCTGACCAGGCACGCACACATTCCAAAGTCGAATACGAATCCAAGAAAACTAGATCCAAATCGTAATCCAAATCAAAATCAATGACCATATTAATATACAAACGTGAGCGCCGCTCAATGGCAAATTGCACTCTTATGTATATAACTATATATATATGTATATATATATATATATATATATATATGTAACTAGATATCCGCAGCAGGTTAAAGCACACACGTATAACACACTCTGGGCACTAATCAATGCGCCTTTTGTGCGAATCAAGTGCGTGTCTGTCCGTCTGTCTGACAGTTAGACTGTCTGCAGCTGAGACTGTAATCATTATATAGCCGACACTTTCTGTGTGCGCACAACTAAACACACACACGCACAGGTATCTATATATTTGCAGTAGCTCAGCACACATCCTGTATGGGGGTTCTGTGCCTTTATCTCCAGTCTCCTGGTTGCAATGTTCCATTTGAATAATATATGGCTGACAAACTGTACGCAGCCTGAGTGCACATCTGTGGCCCGGGCCGGGCAAAAGTTAAACATTGCTGACACACGTTTCATTTCGTATAAAATATGCAAAACTACGCCCTGTCGCCCGCTCGTCGGCGTGATCAACACATTCTTCATTTAATAATGTCGTCGCCATCCTTATCCTCATTCTCAACCTCATTGTCAATGTCATTAACAGGCACATCAGTTAACATTGCCAGGCGAGATGCAAGTGTTGCATGAATCTCAGCCACAGTAGCTGCAGCAGCAGCAGCAGCAACATCATCAGCTTTAAGTTGCATGATTTGCATAATTAAGGCAACAGAATGGGGCTTGTGGCATGCTTTTTAAATGCCAGGCTCATCAGGATGCATAAATCAGACTAATGGAAATCGAATGTAGCCGCCAGCTATTGAGTCCATGGCGTTCGGTTTACTCTGTGATGCTTTTTAAATATTGGCAGACGGAGTGATGGGTGAGAGGGTGGCATTGGGGTAGAAAGGGAGAGGGAGGAGCGTGGAATTGGAATATGAAATTTGTATGCTTTCACATAGTTAAAGCATCTTCTACACAGAGGGTTTATTGGTTTCATGCTGCATTTTATTTATTAATATACTTATTTATATACACATTAAACTTAACGACAAGCTTGTGATTAAAAGCCAGCCAACTCGGATACGATTGATTTAGAAAGTGGATCGGTAACTGATGAAAAATGACATTTAAAGATGTTTTATTGTATATGTATTTACAATTAGACCCATAAAAAGGTTGGTGCTGAGATTCATGGCGCATGTGAAAAACTTGCTAGACTAGGTATATAAGACATCCTTGTAGCCAAGTTAAAACCTTTGTCCTCATCAGGGAACAATTCATTATGCAGTTCACGATTGCTCTTTGTGCTGAAAATATTGCAATCCATGAATATTTTCTTATACAAATACGGGCTAGATTTGACTTCTACCCAAAATTGGCATCTATAAAAAATGATTAGATAAAAGCAATAATTGGGGCTAAAGTAATTTATAACTTGGTTAAATGTTCGGTTTATAGAAAAAAAAATGAGCTTAAATTATGCATCAAAAATAGGATATTCAAATAAATTCCAAAAGTTTATAAGTAAAATTCAAGTTTTAAAAATGATTTGAAAAGATGTTGGAATTATTTACAATCTGTGTGACATGTTTTTAAAAATACATTTTCACTATTATTAGTTAAGCTAATTTTAATTAATCAATTTATGGGTACGAAATATATTTCATATACATATAAAATGCCACTAAATATATTTAAAATTCAGTTAATGATGCATAAATGCGAAGCTCATGCAATTGTCAGACTATGTGGTGCGAAAACAGGATTAGCAACAGATACAAGCTGACTGGAAGACTGATAGACAGACAGACTGTCAGACTGCCAGACTGTCAGACAGACAGACTTTCAGACAGCTGGATGGACAGCTTGCTGATGGACTGTGACGGCAGCGCTTGGCGCGTTGACAAATCATTTCAGTGCGACTGTCGACAGCTGGCGGGGAGACTGACAAAAGACAGGAGGGCGCGGGGCACACGGGGGACAGGCGAAGTGCTACTGAGAGATGATTGACGCATGCACATTACTTCTGTGTGTGTGTGTGTGTGTGTATGTGTGTGTGTGTAACTGTGTACACACACATCGAAGCCCCGTCACACAGCAGCAAGAATGACATTCAACTTTTATACGTATATATATATTTTTTTCCATTGCCCACCATTTGCCATCCAATTTGGTTATGAATTTTTTAGTTCGCTTTGCTGCCTGGCTGACAACTATGCAAATTATCAACAACCGCCCTGGCCTGTGCCCTCCCCTTTTCAGGGACAAGCCCCGCAAACTAAATACAATGCAAACAACCCACAAGCAGGCAACGGGCAACAGGCAACAGGCAACAAGCTGCATGCCAAAGTTTTGCTTATTGAAAAAGTTTTTAACATTTGTCGTAATATTATGCAGGTCGCTGGCGCGACTTGAACCCTTTTGCGCAGCCAGGGTCTCAGTAAGGATTCCAATAATAAAAAAAAAACACAGAAAAATCATATAAATATATACAACAAAATTGGGGTTTCGCAGTGTGAACTTTTTCTTTTGTCTTAACCAGAGCACTCAACGGCCTCTCATGCCGCATTCGAGCACCTTTATTTTGCATTTGCTGAGCGCCCAGAGAACAAAGCAAATGCTCGGGCCTCGAGATCCGGACCCAGACCCGGACCCGAACTCAGACTCAGACTCAGACCCAGGCCAGGACCCAGACCTCGACCCGGACGGGGGCAGAGCACAACTTGAACGTGTTGATTGATTGTGTCAGAACGTGGGCAGCGGGCATAGGGGCGGGAGTTGAGCTGCAATGAAATCGGGGGCAATGGCAATGTAAATTGTTGGCTCCTCGAGTGGCTGATGGCTTTTGGCGCTTGTTTGCATAAGCCAAGCCAAATGAAATGAACTGAAAGCAGCTTCAAGTGCTTTAAAAAATTTAAATGCCAGTTGACACAGGTGTGTGTGTGTAAGTCTGTGTGTGTTTGTTTGTCTGGGAGCAAACAGATGGCTTTGTAACGTGCTGGGCATGTTAAAGACCTGGCTCGCATATTAAATTACAGCCACAAAATTGGTCGATTAGTCGTTGCGAGCAGCGGCCACGCTGCCACGCATTGTGGCATAGACCACATAACGACTAGCGGCAACAAGTAAGCACTTGCTACAAATTGTTGCGCATACGCAACGTTGCCCGTCACCATTCGCTGACAATGGCCAAAGACAACGACGTTGTAAAAGTTTCAGCGTCAGGTTTATCACCTTATTATACCCTTGCAGCGGAGTTGTAATTTTGTCATGAATTGGGCAACACATAGAAGGACACGTCTTTGAGCCCAGCCGAGACGACATTGAACTACATTAATATGGGAAGAATCGGTCTAATCGATCTAAACTGGGTTTTGGTATTGAACAATTTTCTCTTATTCAAAATATCATTAACAAACTCAGCAATTATGAGCTTAATTCTTCACCAAACATGTTTGCAAAGGGTATTCAAAATTCGTTATGCAAAAGATAGACGTTTAACCTTGTGTATTTTTTTTGGTTTTATGTTTTGTGGGTCATAAACATAAAATATATAAAATATGTTTATAGTGAATGACGCTTTGAGGTTAAAAATAAATCGAAGCGTGGCGTATGCGTAATATGCGTATGTGTGTGTTTGTGTTTGTCCGTGTCTGTGTGTGTGTGCGTTGTTGTGCTTTTTAGTCATTTGTGAAAAAATTGCCCAACAAAGCGTTATTAAATGAGACATTTAATTAATTGCCATGGCCCGGCTGCAAATTAATTATGTAATCTTAGCACCTCAGGCAAAATGAGTGCTTTAATGAAATTTAAAAAGAGGCCATGCACAGCCCGTAAGGGAGGGTATCAGAGAGAGAGAGAGAGAGAGAGAGGGCGGGGAGGGGGGGGGGGAGGCGAGCGAGCGAGACAGCAGACATGCCTACAGCTAAATGTGTGTACACATATTGAGGCACAGAAATAAATTAAATTGCATACATTCAGGCGCCGGGACGCACTCGACAGCTGGCCACAAAAGCCAAGCCAGTCAGAGGGACTCATAAGATATGTAGAAACAGAGAGAGGGTAGCTCAGAGCATTAATGCCTTTTAACTGTACTTATTTACCAAATGTTTTTCACATGGCATGACTAATGAGACAGGCATATAAATTTATATATTTAACAAGCAGCTGCTTTTGAAATGGGTTTCTTAAGGCTTTTCCAACTTTCAACTAGAAAACGGAATTTTTATTATACAATACTTTAACTGGGAAATAAGCATTCGTATCGCCTGGGCGACACATTCGCGATAGTTGTGTCGTTAAATAGATTGCAAAATCTTTGAGATCAAACAAACCTCTTTAAAATGAAGATGACTATCTGACTCAACTGCCCTCGCAGCGCACAGAAGTGCAGACGTCAACACTTGTGAATGCCTGTGTGTGGGTGTGTCTACTTGTGTGTGTGTGTGTGTCTGCCTGTGTGTGTGTGGAGTGGTAGATAGAGTGTGCCGCCTTAATAAGTAACAAAGGCAACCAAAAAGCAATGTTTATTTTGATTTACAAACTGAGGCGGCGATTGGGGCGGCATAGACGTAGGCGCCGACAGCAGCTAAACTTTTCACTTGACTATGGGAAAAAGTGAAAATGAAAATGTTTTGTGCCAGGCAAGTACAAAAGCGAGTACAGTAAACAAATACAAACACAAACACAAACACGAAACAGCAGCACAAACACAAGGATCCAAGTCGCGCTCTCTCTCTCTCACCCACTCTCCACACGCATGGACAGGAGCACAAGCACCGACACGGACACGGACAGGGACAGGAACATAATGGCAACGTATAGCGGCACAGCAAGTCCTGGGCTTAGCGCTTAAGCCTGCTGCGACAGGACATTTAATCTGCTTGTATTAATGTGGGTGTGAGGCGGCCAGCACTGGCAGCGAACCAGGACAAATGCCAGGCTTCAAGAACAACTTTCAGGCCAAAGCCAACAGACCGAAGCCGGCGCAGAGAGCGTGAAGTCAGCAACAGCTTCAAGTGGCTGTTTGGGCGAAAAGGGGGGAGGGGGAAGGGTTTGTTGGCCAAGGCAAAAAGGGTAATGCCAAAAGCTGTTGCTGTGATTTTTATTGTCATTCTAAGAATTGTTATTTTACTTTAACAAGCCCAAACTCAATCTGTGCCTTTCAATACCAAGCCTTCTCAGTGTGTGTGTGTGTGAGTATGTGTGTGTGTGTCGAGTCATCTTGAGAAATGTCATGGGGCTAATATCAAATGTGTCTGCCTGCGCAAAGCGTCGTCTATTTTGAGGTTTGACACAAATTGGCATCTCACAACAGGCAAAAGCTGCGCACACAGACGATACGAATATACCACAAACGAAACCAAAAATACTCGAGTACTCGCATTGTATGTAAAAACACTTGAAAGTGGTAAACCAATTCATTAGTATTGTGTAAAAGTGAGCTGAATAAAATTGAGCTTATTTCGTGTGGTTGCACGATAAATTAACGAGAGAGAGTGAAAGAGAGAGAGCGAGAGAAATATAGAGAGAGATCTTGATTTGGAATATTCCGCTTGAGATGGTGGCGACAACCATTTGTGGCTCGCATTTGAAAAGCGTTTTATTGTCTGTCTTGCTTTTGTATTGTTTAAGTGCAGTTGAATAGACTTAAGCAGTTTTAGTTACTCACAAGCTGATAATCAAAAGAAACAACAAGAGAATAAAACAAGCTCTAAATAATGTGGGAAAATGTGAAGTTGCTCGCTTGAACTCAGTTTTTCCAGCTTTTGTTAAGCTATGAACCCATCTTTAAGCTAAATCAGTAACTCAGCAAAATGTCGAGTCTTAACCTGAAACGAAGAACATCTTTGAGAGCTGTTAGCGTATTTTAAATTAAATTAAATTTAATATGGTTAAAGTCTGAGATTGATTTGAAAGTAAGTAAGTAACCTATGGGAAGGGAGATGCATGTGGAAAGTCTTTAATTAATTTCTTATTTTTTGTATAATTTGTTAAGAATCATTACATGTAGAACGATTTTTATTAATCCATGGGAAGGAGATAAGTGAGTATATTTAATTGCATTGAACTTTTTCAAATTAAATCAAATTGGAGAAATTAGACGAGGAAAGGACTGATATCTAGTTTTATGGATGAGCAAAGCTTCTATACACCATTTTTGTTTGTGGCATCATTTTTTGAGGGCGAATTATAAGTAATCTATGGAAAAGGAGACTCGAAGCACGCTTAGCTAAAGGAAGATTAAAGAGCCCAGGAGCAGATAAATGGAAATTGAATTAGTATATAGACGAAATCGTTGCTTACCTCCTCGCCAACATATTTGGCTGGTTAGTACAGAGGCATGACCTTAAAGCGACAAAGCCAGATAGTTATAATGTGAAAATCTCAGTACATCTGTACAACCTGCACAGCTTGAGCCAGCAAAACTTGCCTTTTTATGCTTGCAGCTATGTAAGCAAAGCACCAGCTTGTCTTTGGGATCGTAAAAATGCAGACACCTTGCCGCAGCTCAAAGCGAAGGTGTGCAGCAGAAACGAAACTAATTTCCGGCCATCGAGGCAGGGCACAGACAAAAAATGGTAGCGGAAATCGAATTAAAACGCTGAATAAAAGCTTTGCGTGGCTCCAATTAAAGAAGAGCATGTGAAACTTTTAAAAGAACGGCAGCCTTTTAGGGCATATATTGTGTGTGGAAATTTGGCTTCCTCTTTTACAAGCAACATTTACGATATGACAGCAGGCTGTAGGTTGTAAGGCAGAATGGGAGAAGAGGGGAGGGGGTGTGTGTGTTGTGTGTGGATGCTGTTGCAAGTTTGTAAATAATGCAGTCGGTCTGGCATGCAGCTTGCCACATGCCACGTGCCACAGCCAAAATGACAGCAGCAAAGTGCGAAGCTAACGACGTGGCCGAAACATTTCAAAAGTTGTTGCTGCCCAAGCAGGTGGTATGCGTTGGGGTAATATGGACTGTAGGAGGGCGGAGGGGAACTCGGTGGGGTGTGTCTGCTTGGGGCAGATGAAGTTGTGATTACATGCAGGCAGAGTTCAGAGACGGGAGTCTGTGGCAGCTGCTGGTCATGGAATATGCACGTTTTTGTTGTTGCTGTTGTTTTATGCTTAAGTGCAGATGTTGTCCATGACGGAGCGGAATGCATCTGCAATTTGCATGCGCTGCATTTTTATGCATTTTTCAAAGGATAAAGGCAAGCAATCGGGACATACCGCATGCGGGATGCGGCATGCGGCACGCGGCACGCGGCACGCGGCAAGGGGCACGCATTAAGTGCAGCGAACGCTGTTGGCCATGAAAAATGCATTTCAATATTTTTTGCTGCTCCGCTTACAAACAAACACTAATTAATGGCCAACTTTTTCGCACACACCCATTGAAATGCTTAAAAAACAGGGTCAGGCCAGTTGCCTGGCAACGGGAATCAGCATTGGCATTTCCCCAACCTCTGACCCTTGCCGCTTGCCGCTCTCTACATAATTACGCTTTTATTCAAGTGTAGCCTGCCACAAGGCGCACGAACTGGCACGCCAAGCCGAACAAGAGCACACCAGTATGCATGTGTGTGTGTGTGTGTGTGTGTGTGTGTGTGGCTGCCAAAAGAAAATACAACGTTCCACACAGTTCAGTCGCTTAATTTCCGGTGTGTTTGTTGTTCATCCAGCGAACTAATTAAAAGTTCAGTATACGTAAAATAGAAAAGGGCGCCCAGACAACATTCTCGTTAGCAGCTGCAAAATGTTCGACCTTGAGACCGCTTTTCCACTTTTCCACTTTTTTTCACTTTTCCTGTCTGCCCTTGGTATAGCACACAAAAACAATATGTATTCACAAATACTGTGTGCCAAAATCAATGCCAATGCGTTCAAGTCCAGTTAACAGGCACAAAACCCTTTTTGCCCCCGGCTCATGCGATAGCTATAAACTATGGCATAACTAGTTTGATGCCCTGCCCCAAAAAAGGCCGTTCCAGCTATCTCAAGTGCCTGGTAACGATCTATACCTTTTATTAACAATTAACTTTCAACTTTGATAGGGGTAAAATTTATTATTTTGTTCCAGCTCTTGATAAACTCTTTTAAGTTATCAAGCAAAATCTGCGCACAGATTATACAGATATATGTGTATATATATATATACATTTAGTATATATTTCTACTCTAATGCATCCGGAGTTTGTTTGTATGTTTTATTAGCTGTGTCGTTGGTGTTGCAACTGCAAAAACCACATCATGCATGCCGCATGCATGAGTTGGTGCAAGCTTAAAATTTCAAATATGAAAATCATTTATTCGCATATTTCGCTTTAGCTGCGACATGTGCTTGGGGGCGTGGCATGTCATGTGGTTAGCCAAAGCCGATTAACGCAAATTGAATTTACAATTTGGCTCTGATTGCACTTTGACGAGCGCGTGACGAGGACCTCAACAAAGGAAAAAAGGGACTAATTTATGCAGGTTGAGTGAATCGTGAATCAAATAGTGAATCAATTGGATTTCAATCTGTTGACTCTACTAAATTACGTGTATTTTCGAATGCTAAGCAAGTGCTAATCCCACTTAAAGCCAAAACCGAATTATCTGTAAGTCAAATCAGAGCGGGCAAAAGTTAATGCTATACGAATGGAGAATGTAGCATAATAGTGAAATTATAGCTTAAATTAATACAAAAAAATGTAAGCAAAATCTTGCGTTTGGGCTGATAATTCGGTTTACATTTGTTTTCCATGGAACTCGCTCATTGGTGCAGAAATTTTATGAAATACCTTTTCCCAGAATTGCAATCATTTGCAACTGCCTGTCGGGGGCAAAAGGCATCTGTTTGCAAAGGCAAATAGAACGAGATGAGTAAAGAATTAAATAAACATCATAAGAACTATAAATCCTATGGAATTTGCAATAACTTATTCCCAACCAGAGTCAGTGGCTCCCCATGGAATCCAAAAGGCAATCTTGTTGCCAATGCCCACTAACTCAAATTGTCTGCTGCAGTTGTCACATTTCTCACCGGGGCCTTGCTTTGGTTTGGCTTTTAGTTTTAGTCAAAAACTTTTGTGGCAAATACTTTGAAAACTTTTGTTGGCCGCCTTTAAGAAGCTGCCAACCGCCTGGCCAAGTTGGGTCCAAGTAAATTTGTCAATTTGTGTTATCCTCTTATTGTTCGTGTGACTCTCCCTCTCTTTGTGTGTGTGCGTGTGTGTGTGTGTGTGTGTGTGTGTGTGTGTGGGCGCATTTGTTTCGTCCGATTGTCTTATTATGCGGTATAAATTGTATGACGGCTGTTAAACAGACTTAAATCGGTATAAAAATCGGAATGAATGCAAACGAGCATAAAGAAGCTTTTTTCCAAACTCACCCACGCACACAGACAGATTTAATGTAAACGTCTGTGTGTCTGCCATTTTGTGTGTGTGTGCGTGCCCTTCTTTTTTGCTGCCCCTTCCCTCAATATATAAAATATTTCCTGCATGCGTTCACAAAAATAATTTCTTTCGCACATTTTCATATGCTGCTTACGAATCAAATTATGGCCACCTATGCGAGTGGGTGTGTGTGTGTGTGTGTGTGTGTGTGTGCAGGTTTATTATGAAAATGCCACGAATTACTCGCGTATAAAAGTCATCATTAATTTCTCTCAGACGCTTTTCCTGACAATCATTTTGGAATTTATGCGCTCATTCATGCAAGCCCTGGCACAAGGCATCCCAGGCAGCTGTCAATCGTGACCGCCTACATGCTGCCACGCCTACCGCCACCAGCCGGTTTTGATGTGTTACCCTGTCTTAAGGGCAATTCGCAGTTTTCAGTTCCTTTCTTTTTTGCACGAGACTCCTTTTATATTTTTTTACGAGTTCATCAAAGTTGTGGACGATTTTAAAGATGCTGCCATGTGACAAGGATAAACAAGGTCATAAAAATGCGTCGGGACATAAGCAGCGGGCGCGTAAAATGCGCCAAAGATTGCGGCACAGATTCAAATTCATCGCCAGTGAGAATCACGTAGCAGTTGCAGCTGTTCCCAACAATGCGTGGGCTGTGTAGCATTTATTATGCATACGCCCCGTAGTGCATATCTGTTGCGTAATAAAATCAGTTAATAGTCGCATGCATAAAACATGGCCAAAACGGACGCAGACGCTGAGAGTATGTGTTCCGAGCAGGTGCGACCGGAAACGCGGCAATCGCCGGCCACGTTTCCGGCTGATTGTTAAAGCCTTTGCAGGCTAATAAAAATTAAACTAAACGTCTTCAGATCGTTGGCGGAAACTAATTTACTTGTCAGTTTTAATTATGGCTCGCTATTAAGCGAAGCGTAAGTCACATGTCCATACCATACACCACATGTGTGTGTGTGGGTGTGCGTTGCCGGTGGCATATTATTAGTCCATATAAATTCATGTCAGTCGAGTTTCGCTTTAATTAACTTTCATGTTTGTATTAGACATTTTGTCTATGCGAGTCTAAAATGACTTTACCATGGCACGCCCCCGCCCGGCCTGCTCGGCCCGCCTCCTGCTATTTGCTATTATGCCACATATGGCTTATTGTGATGGCCAAGTCATAGTTAGGCATGTGGTTATTGTTGTTGTTGTTGTTGTTGTTGCTGCTGTGTGTTATACATGGCATTTCCCAAAAGCTAATTGGCCCCCAAAAACAATGCCAGCCCCGAACACTTGGTCAATTTAGTGTGTGTACATGCCGAGACCAAAAATTAATTCGAAATTTGAGCTTTTGCCCAACTGGCAAATTTGTGGATTTTGTGCGAGTGCCCAAAATATTTGCAGCAAATGTTGTTCAACAATTTTGCAATTCGTTGGAACTCAAAACGGTTTTAGCCATTAATTAACACAAATAAGCTGCAACTGTTATTTGGGTTTGTTTAGTCAAATTCACAGGCTAATTGATATCATAATTGCCCAACACAAATACTATACTATATATTAATGCACATATTTTGATTATTGCATTTAAATAAACATGAGCCAAATAGGTTGACTGCAAATTTATCTACTGTAATTCAACAATTAAATTTCCCTGGTAATTGCCAGACAGTTGGTTGGATGCTTGAAATTATTCGACTGAATGCCTTTAATTATATGTTTTAGTTATGGTAATAATAATAATTATTACTATGTAAAAACATGGGCGATTTGTTTGTTTTATAGTAAAATGCTAATCAGCCTATATCAAAATGGATTTTGCATTTCAGCTTTTTAATCTTTTCGGCGATTCAAAATGGCTAAAAAGCAGAATATATGTAACAGGCAGAATGAAACAACTCCGACCTTATAAACTATATATATTCTTAATCAGCATCAATAGCCAGGGTTAAGTGGATCCGTTTATATAATCGCATGGATCTCAGAGTCCATAAGAGCTAACTGTGTTAAAATTTCAAAAATTTGGACTTGTAAACTTGCCAAGTCCTCAGCCGCCTGTCGCAGTAAGAGAATGAATAGTTTAACTCAATGTAACAGCTTCTTTAAGATCTAATGACATTTTTACTCATTTGGAGCATTTCAAGAGGCTATTTGGTTCTCTAATTCCCTAACAATTTTTATAGCAAGTTATCAAGTCCGGTTTGGGTTTGACAAAATATATTTTTATATTTAAAGCATCGTCACAAATGTTCGACAGCAATTAACTTAAAGGTTCATTTTATATAGCTATGCTCAAGAGGTTTTAAAGTGTATGCCACTATAACAGAGTTTGTTTTAACTTAAATCAAGACACGTTTCCAATGTCAAGCTGGAAAAGTTTTTTGTTTTATTTACGCTATGCATGGACAAAGTTTTGCTTGAGGAAACGGTAACTGAAAATCCCTAGCTCTGGCTCTGGCTTTGGCCCAGGTTAAGGTTTAGATTTAGTTTCAAGTGCTGGTGACTCAATTTGCAATTAAATTGCGCCAAGGAGCGTGCTGAACGGGCAGGCCAGACAGATGGGCGAAAACACATAAACTTGTTGTAAAATTTCAGGCATGACTTGTTTCTGTGGGCGCAGCGGAAACGGAAATGAATGGTTTTTGTTGTTTTTGTTGTTGTTGTTGATGAAATGTACAAATGCGCATAATATTTACTCAGCACTTTTATTTTGATTTTGATTTCTGCTTAAAATGCATAAAAAATTCATAACAATTCAGTGGGCAGCCACGGCCACTAAAAACGCAAAGAGCCCACTTAAAGGACCATAGAAAATATTATTTTACGCTCAATAACATTGAAATGGCACTGGAAATGTTTTCTGTTTGTGTATTTGTCGCTTTGGTTTTTGTCAATTCAAATTGCTGTTTGCACCGACCGGGCAAAAACAAACAGATATGCATCGTTTGAAAATTATTAGCAATTGTGGACATGTGTGCGTGTATGTGTGTGTGTGGCAAATGTGCGAGTATATTTTCAATTTCAAATTGCCTGGCACGATGGGAATGCCAAGCGTCAAAGGGTTAAGCGGAAAGCGTTGCAAATAAACAAGCAAAATAAGCAAGAGTTTTGCGGTGGGGTATAACCGACTGACTAATACTTGTTTACAGCACTGAAAACAGCTGCAAGCTTCCTTATTTGTACATAATATCAGATCGATCTTCGGAGAAGCTTATCATTGGAATTCCTTCAATTTGGGTATATATAGTGAAAAGCTTTAGAAAATGGAGAGAGTTTAAGAGGAAAGATGAGATGCTGACATCTTTTCAGCCGGGTGATGAGAAGAGCTTCAGATATACGATGACAGGTAGAAGTTATTATAAAATGGTCAAAGTTCAAGTGATATGTGTAAGGGAAGAGTTGGTTTTCACTACTGAAGCAGAGTGAGATGTTTTTGTATAGATGTTAGGATGAGATTCGGATATATTACGACATGAAACAATGAATACCATAAATGGATACAAGGAAAGATCTGGCATTCGATACAGCAGCTGGGTTAAATGTTGAGTTTTCAGACGAGCTTAAGGTGCAATATGACAGGTACGATTTGGAGCTCTTCAATTTCCAGCTTCAAGTTGCGGTGGAACCAGCAGGTGCGCACTTAACAATTACAATCAGTAGAGCTTCATCGTGAAGCCTCTGCACCTGTTTGCGGCTGACTCTGACTCTAAAACTGTAGAATATATAGAAGAAAACTTTATCTGACACGGTTATACAAGAGCATAAATGCCATGTAATCGTAATATACTCTTTTCACTTTGCGAACAAGCTTAAACATTTGATAAAAAGGTAAAAACTTTTTAAGTACTTACACGACTTTAAAGCATCCGAATGTTATTTCTGACATTACATTTATTCATGCAAAAGCTAAACAATTTTATTTATATTCTAGGTATTTGCTTACAGCGTAGTATGCAATTGTATACTAGCTAAACATATTTCATAGACTATAATAAACTCCTCACAGGAGGCAACACAAAAACCCAGTTACGTTTTCCTCGCAAATGCATTTCCTTTTCTCACGTTTTGCGTGGGCAAGTGGTAGGTGGGGTGGGGTGGGAAGAGGAGGGGGGCTGTTACGTTTTATCCTGCATAGTTGCTAGCGTTATTTATAAAGAAACAAGATACAATGCAACAACACAGATGCATCTTCCAGTTACAGCTGCTGCTGCTGCTGCTACTGCGCTTGATGCCTGAGATATGACACGATGTTTAGCCTTCATAATATATTTAGCTCAGCCTTGACAGTGGCAACTATTAAACTATTAAGAGTTCGCGAGTGGCAGATACCTTGTACTTCATCATGCTCTACAAATTGAGATAAACACCCGATCTCTCAATACCTACTGATCGGCTCATAGAGATATATTTTGCTCGCTTGAAGTTAGTTATTTTTGAGTTCGTACTTATTTATTAAGTCTCTTTTTTATCATTTTAAGTGAGTACAGGGTATCAGAACCGCGTGTGTGTTTATTTATAATTGCTAAACATTGTTAATGGTTGGTCGCGCTGTTGTAAATACTTGCTTTCTGCTTGATTAGAGTCGCAACACGCAGAGTCGTTAAGTGTGTAATGTGCTTTGACAGTTTAGCATTGCTTAAGCTTGCGTAGCGCATAATACCTGATTTGTTTTGATAGTAATGGGAATTGTCATGGTGCTGGGTAACTATGCACAGATCAATATACAATTCGATGGACTAGTTAGTGTTAAGTAAATGCTGTTAATAATAAAATAATGCTGACAGGGCAAAAGATCGTCAGACGCATAAAAATGGGCAAACTAATTAAATACGAATTGATGCAGGAGCGTCACGTCTGCAACGGCGCCGGGTCACAGTTCACCTGTGCTGCTTAATGTGCAAATAAAATGGCGTAAATGTTGTTGCTGTGCATACTAATTGCAGCAGACGGCGGGCAAGGACACAAGCTCTTGGGAGAAATGGCTATTTTGGACAGGCACTTCTCACAGGAGCAGTAGCTGCAGGAGCGGGAACGGAAGCCGAGTTCGGTGGGTGAAGAAGCAACAAGCGCTCGGGACGCATCAGCTGCCAAAGGCCTCGTACGCGCGTCTCCTTCTCGTCTTCCCCCCCTGCTTTGTGTGCGAGACGAAGCGGTTGTGACATTGACTGAGAGACCCAGTTCTGGCTAACCGGCTGGCTGGCTGGCTGGCTGACTGGCTGACTGGCTGGCTTGACTGGCTGCCAGATTGTCCTTGCACCAACGCCCCGCCAAACAACAAACTGTTGCTTCTCAGCTGTTTGCCAATTGCCCCAATGGCCCACATTACCCCTGCGAGGCGCTTGCGCAATGCAAAAATTTAGCACAGTTCCTGCCGGGCCTGGGCTACGGGTTGGCCCCTGCGCGCAACAGTTTGGGGCATTCTTATGCTCGATTTGGGATATTTGATAGCTGTTGCTTCGCGCCGGAGTCGAGTCCGTTGACGAGCCCGAGCGTAAGTCTCGAGTCTCAGTCTGTTTGGGGACTTCACTGCGTGCGAACGTGCGAGAATTTTAAACGCGTCTAACAAGTGAAATCCACGCCGAACGATTCGAACATACAAACAGGTATACTTATATGGGGGATAAGATACACGCACGTCTGATGTATACACCTGGCACATAGAAGCCCGCGCACACATACGGCTGGCATCTTCTATGCGTGTGTATGCTTGCTGCATATAAAAACGTGTTTAATTAATGTAAAAGTGTCGCTGTCGTTTGCCTTCTTTGTGGACCATTATCATGTCGAGAAATGGATACTTAGAGATACTCAGTCTGAGACCTTTGGCAGATGTCCCGTGTGGCGTTAATGTGCAATTAATTTTTCATGTGTTTTTATAATAAAGTGCTTAAAATTGATTTCACATTAAAAATTTAAGTGCAATATGACCACAACAATTTTTAACTGAACTTCTAAAAAAACACACTTTTTAACAGACCGTAATTAATTGCATATATATATTTTTTTTTAAATTTTGTAATTTTTTGTATTTTTGCAGTGCGTTCAAAACATTTTTGAAGTGACAAATATCACGTATACGTCGAGTGTTAAGGTGAGGCATTAAGCGCGGGCACAAAAACAAACACAAAAACTATTTAATAATTGAAATGCATTTGCATTATTATTAATTGGGTTATTATAAAATTGCATCAAGCAGAGCTTTAATTAAATTAAATGCAGCTGCTATTCTTGAATGCCAGGGCTTAAGCCAATTATCAAAGGGCTCGTGATAAATTGCAACTTTGTGGATAATTTGCGGAAATTTTAATTTAAAATTTCACCAAGAATTCCCTTCAATTATTCGCAAAAATTTACTGAGAATAAGTTTAAAGTCTTGATACTTAAATTGAATCAGCCTTTTCGCAAGTAACTCAATATCATTGAATACATTTTGCACCAAATCTTTTATACAATTTCTAAGGCAAGTAAGTAAGGAGTAAGGCAGTGCTCTATCTCCATCTATCTCTGACCAACTGTCTTGGATGCTGCACAACGGCAAAACAGAATGAGATGGAGAAGTTTTTTTCTTTTTTTCATTTTTATGCAACTTTAATGCGTTTCGCAGCTTGTTGCTGCTGCAGTAGTTTGTTGTTATTCCAGAAAACTCTGGCGAAACTTATGCAAATTTTCGCTCGGCACTCATAAAATCAAAAGTTGTGCAACGCCGAAGAGGGGAAGGGAGACAGAAAAAATTTAAACATGTTGCCAATTTTAAGCGATTTTAAATAACTCTTGTTGCCGTTGCTGTTGCTGCTGTTGAGTGTCGCTTAATGATGTTTTATTTTTAGTCGAACAGAAAGCGAGCTGTGCCATGGCATAATTTATAATTCGCTTTGCCAAGGCAACAAAGGCATAACCGAGTGGCAAAAGAGGCCAACGGGGCGGGACCGCAATTTAAAATAATTTCCAGTGCTGCCCTAAATGGCATTAAGCATTAAGTCATTTTGAGGGCAGGCAAAACTTACAGCCAACCAAGTTGACTGTGTGTGTGTGTGTGTGTGCGAATGACTTTGCCGTTATTGTGTTATACATATGTGGTTGTGTCCTCTCTCTCTGCGTGTGCGTGCGTGTGTGTGTGTTTGTGTGTCTCAATGGCATTGCACATTTATGCATATAATTGAGACCCAACAAGACGACAAGACTCTGTTGTTGTTGATGCGGCGTCAAGTGGCACATGCCACAAAATTCTTACTGGATTGTTCTTTTCCACAGCGTCGCCAGTCACATGATACGACATACTTTTCAAAAAGTTGCACAAATTCTTTTGAATTCGACAGCATTGGCGAGCTAAACAAATCAGCAACTGGCCTTTATTGCCTGCTCAGTTATCAGCTATAACTGATTGCTTCTCCCAAAACTTTCAGATGACCTCAAAAGGTCCTCGTCGAATTTCATATACGTACATGGTTGAAAATTTGATTATAGTTTTTTTTTTTCGGCCACAGCCTTCATGTGCATATGTTTGCATGGCACGCAAAGGGCGCACCCTATAATCACGTGCTGGCCCAACTGGCCCAACTGCCTTCAATATGAGAGCCGCGCACAATGGCAACAAATTATTATCCAACATTCATAACACAAATGATACTCGGCGCAATTAGTGTCGCATTACACAATTGTTTGTTGCATAAATGTATATGCCAAATTTTTGGTATGTTCAATTAAGCAACTGCAACAATTTGTATCTGTTGATTTTGTCTCTCGGCTCGAACTAATATTAAATTGAATTCCAACAGCAACCACCGCCGAGAGATTTCGCTTCGCAACCAACTGATGAATTATAAATATGACAGCGTCATTTGCGGTGCGCCTCTGCCGTACACAATTTGCAGCGGGCACTGAATTCAATTAGGTTATTTTTAGTTTGCTCTCGAATTCCTCCGTGCATAAAGTGTGCAAAAGTGTAAAAAGTGCTTAAATTAAGTGGAATTATATTTTCTATAACAAAGCATAAAAGCGCATCGAAAATGAGACATGTGCATGGCGTTGCGCTATTATAATTTATATTGAAATTAAAGGCCAGAAAAACACTATGGCTGTTTATTTAGAGCTTGATTTAAATAAATGTGCTTTGCAAATATTTTATTTTATATTAAACTTCTTATATATTTTCTAGCTTCAACATTCATGTATGTAGCATCAATAGTAGAGCCAAGCGAAACTTCTATAGTTTTCTCCTAAAATGATAATTGGCATAAATATCTGAATATTCGTAGTATGAATAGCAGAGCCAATCAAAATTTCGATAGTTTTCCAACACTTCTATACCGAATATTTAAAAGCCTAAGCTAATGCTCTAATAATTTACCTGGCTGTTACACTTTATTGTGCTCTTATTAAACAAACACATGTATTTTAAATCAGAACTATAAATAGAATTGAAGTTGGAGCGCCAGTGCTTAAAATCCTGTTACCTGTCGCCTGTGACAGCTTATCCAAAAGATAAGATGTGTTTATTGCTGCTTTTATTTAGCTGTGATAATTAATATAATTTGCGCCATATGCTTGCCTAAAATTGAAATTCATATAGCGTGTGCACTAATAACCAATTAAATTAAATTCCATGCACGACCGTTGGTGAGGATTCATAAAAGCAGCGACTTAAGCATGACGCACCCTGGCAGGGCGTGTGACTCGGGCTGTATTATTGAGTTGCCGTTCAAGCCGTTTAATACACAGACAGCTGAGCTAAGAGCGGGCAGCACTTATTGAAAACTGATTACCAGGCACAGACAGAGGCACAGGCACAGGCACTGGGCGATAACAAACATATTAAGACACTGAGCCGATGAGCCAGTGAACCCACTGAGGCGAACGACGTGCAAGTTGACGCATATTGCCTGGCAATTAAGCCGCACAGCTAAACAGATTGTGGCACCACGCACACGGCAGAGCAACAAGCGGCAGCCAACCACAGGTGGCAAGTAGCAGCTAATACTTGAGCTGAAATGGTCAACGGAAAGTCGACGGGGCACAGCGCTAAGTCGTGTTAGTTTCGCTTAGTTTCGGTTTAGTTTTGCAAGAGTTTGTTTTCGTATAATTAACTTTGTTTTAAGCCGCATTTACGCGGCTCTTTGTTGCGGCTAATTTCATTTATAAGCCTCAGCGCACAACAACAAATCATTTAGAGCCCTTAGGGCGAGCCTATGATTATGCCACAATTGTTGTTGCCTTTGGCTGCAGTTAGAAGCAATCCAATTATGGCAGCTTGTCTGCAACACTTGAACCACTTTTGAGCATTCCACATACACAAATACAGATTAACTGTGCGCACACAAAGCGAATGGCATTCAATTTTCAAGTGCATACTACGGGGAATAACTAAATAAATTACGCAAAAGATTTAATTAAGCAGCCGTAATACAGCAGCGTGCCAGTGTCAACAGCCAGGTCAAAGGCTGCCCCCAAGCCACCAACATAAGCGTCAAGTACAGATAAGCACGGTTACGCCATCCGCAAGGCCCAACCCCACAGATATGCCGCAATGCGCGTTGCGGCACGTTTCACGTGGCGTATGCGTAATATGCAAATGTACGCGCACTTGGCGCGCTGTCAGTTTGAGGTCGTTTGTGGTCCGTCTTGAGCTATCAGAAACCTAACTATCCGGCTAACGTTTGTATTTCTTGGCCCGAATGTCTAAACGTCTAACTGCCTGAACGCTTGACATGCGCTCGAAATGGAACCCTTATCAATTGTATTATATTATCCAAGCCCGCAAGCAGACAGACGACAGACAGACAATGCGTTGAGCCCGATTTGACAATGGGCAACTCAAGCGAAAGGCCCTCGAGTAGATAATTAACAATGCAGCAACCCGGTTGCGACCTATGCTGCGTATACGTAATGCCCGACGACAGTACACAGGCCGCAAAATCAAACGAAATGAACTCAAACCCTCGCAAAAGTACTTTTGCCCATTTGTGCATTTGTTATGCTTATGACTGCTTATTGGGGTCGTTAAGCGTATATGAAAGTCACATATGTGTGCCGACAGTTGTGTGCGTGTGTAAACGAGGGTCGTTTTTCGACTAAGGGCTAATTCTATTTATGTACTTTTCGCTGATTTAATCAAACATTAAACCTATGTTTGCTGTGCAGCATATTGAAGTTTATGTATTTAGCACAAATTATATTTATAAAATTATTTAATTAATATTAAAGCGTTCAGGCTATACGTTATAGCTTATTCATTCAAAATGAAGTCACTTAACAATAACATATAAGATCTCTTATTAGTCAGGGACTTTGCTTTGTGGGAATCACTTCTTGACTTAAATATATTTTAATATTTTTCTGTAAAGAAAAGCAAATTTTATTATATATTAAAGCTGTTTTAAGCTGATAGTATTTGTTTGTATGCCACATTGAAGAATTTTCTAAAATATGTTTAGCTACAAATAGCCTGATAGAAACCTTTTTATTAAAGAAACAAATGTTTGCATTTTAACTATATATTAAAGCTCGTTTGAAGCAGAGAGAATTAGTTAATATTGCTATGTTATTTTATTTCTAAAATATAGATATAGTTTTCTTCTAAGAAATATTTTCAGTTAAAATCTTAAAGCTATATTGAATAGTATATTAAAGTTGTTGCGGTCTAGCTCAAAGACTTCTATTGCTGAGGCAATCTTCTACATGTATAATCTCTACGACTGCCTCTCGGCTGTCTGTGTGTGTCGCTCACCTGTGTGTGTGTGTGAGTGCCATATAAGAAGAAAAGCACGCAACTGACAGCGGTGACCGTTTATCAGGCGCTGCTTTTGTCCTTTTTGCCAGGCGCACAATAAATGAGGCAAAGGCAAACAAAGCATGTGCCAGACTGGCTCGCACCACTAAAGCTGTTGTTTTTAACGGTCATGTGAGTGTGTGTGTGTGCACACGGCCAAAAGGACCATCACTTTTTTTAATTGAGACATCGGTGTATGCGTTTGTGTGTGAGTGTGTGTGTATATACGTCAGTCTACGTTTATTTTGGCCTGTCTTTGCGTGTGTTCTGTGTGTTGTTCGTGTGTGTAACGGGTGTGTATGTTTGTATGTGGTTCGAGCGTGTATGTATACGTGTTTGTGTTTGCTCTGTGTGTATGTGTGTGTATGGTGTTTGTCTTCAGTTAGCGCTAAGCAACGTGTGCTTATTGTTGTTGCCTTTGCTGCTGCCCATCTTCGTTTGGCTTTAGGCTAAAAATATTAAACTCACAAAGCATTTGATACATAGTATAGGCATGTATTTCTATATGCCAAATTGTCAAATATAACAACAGCAGCAGCAACAACAACAACAACAACAACAATGGCAACCCACACAATAACAACGAAAATAATTTTCGCGCTTTGTGCCTTTCACGTTCGTTCGCTCAGTTTTGTTAACATTTTGCTTTCATCATTTAATTTTGGCTGCTGCTGCTGTGTGTTTGCACAAATCAATAAAATTGACCCTCTGTGCCCCCGTATTACCGTACCTCGCCCCTTACCTTAACTACGTGCCTGAAGCATTTCGCATTTCGCATTTTTTTCGAGCTGCTTCGATTTGCTACGTGGTCGCATTTATAAAATTCAAATTGAGATTTAAACTTAAATAAACGCTAATTTTGGCATTGATATTCATTAGCTATTTATCATCATAATGATCCTGAAGCTGATGCTGAGGCTGATGAGCAGCTGTGGGCCAGTGTAAATATTTTTTGCCTTGATTAAAGACCAGCTCCGATGGCTGAACATGAAATTAGAGCGTTAATTTTTCACTTCTCCATGGTGGCCCAAATAAAAAGGACTCGAATTTCGCTGCTAATCCGCCTGTTTTTCAGGTCATGAATTTTAATTGGATGCGACATTTTGTGTTTGAATTTGATGCACTTTAATTAAAGTTTATAATGTGGCAAAAGTTTTTGTGCAGACTCATTCCATTTTTTTATTAAAAAAATAACGCACATATATATATTCAGCTATATGTATTAGAATTATAAAAACAGTTGAAGTCCTGAATGTAAGAGCTCAGGTTGCTCACAGTTTGACCTTTGATTTATTAAAGCTCACAGATTGCAATGTTGTAAGCTCGTTACAGTATATTTGAAAAGTAAATTACGGTCATAGGATAAAAAAGTTTTTCGCATTTAGCAAGAAAAGTGACCTTCAACGTGAAAGTTCAATTAGGAAAAATAACTAAAAGGTTATTGATTAAAGGCGGCGACTTTTTGTTCTGCTCTAACTAACAACTTTATAAATAAATCAATCATTATACACCTGCCGAGCATATTAACTATACATACACAACTTTCCTTTTGTTTGTCCGGACTGGCTGATTGACTTAAAGCAAAAGCAGAAAAAGTGAGATTTGTTATACAAAACCACTTATTTTATCTTCTCAGATTCGATATCATTTTCTGAGAGCTGAGTAATACGTGCTTCGTACTTTCCTGAAATACAAACAAGGAATGATTCAATAATTTCGGAAAATCCAATTAATAGGGATTGTTAAATAAGTAGACGCATGGGTAAAAGCTGGACAATACATGGTAAGCAGTAAATGAAAGGGAGGTCTATTTTGGCTTGTAATTAAACGAGAATAGGTTGAAATCTGTCTTAATTTTGCCAAAATTGTGACATAACCCCTATATTATTTATGTCAAATGTAGCTAAATTAAGTAATTTAGGTTTTGAATGCCAATCGATAGTAGGAATCGGTACGCGTCCAGAATGGCATTATCATAAAGGACTATTTTTCTCAAAGTACATATATGATCGACTAGATCTGTTGGGTCTGTCCTTTTAAGTATTCTTCATCTTCAGGCTCCTCTCCAGGGCGTTAAGAATGATTGTGAAAATAGGTAGCTGGCCGTTAAAAAGTAGCCACATATTTATATTAAAAATTATGACATATCTGTGACCAAAAATCAATGCTCCTGAAAGTATGCAATGAATTTCAATATTTGGAAGTCTTATTTCTCCTAATCTTCCAAAAGTCGATGTACAGCTAATTATATTTAATTAATTAATAGTACATTTTATAATTAGTGATATCTGCAAAAAATCTAGTTATTTGAATTGTATTGTCATGTCTTAACTTAGGCAGCTTAACTCTCGTTTTGTTAACAAGAAATAAAACAAAATATCAGTCTGCTTAACAAACTCTCAGTTTTGGAGATGTATGAGCGAGAATTGGGACTTGGTGAGTTGCTTGCTTTGCAGAAAAAATTATATATAAATTTGTAGGGACTTACGTTACTTTTATGTAAAACCCAATTGCTTTTCCGGCTTACCAGCTGAACCAGCTGCAGGTGTAATCCACGTGAATACACGTCGTGGGTTTATTGATTCAACGTTTGAAGTTCAACACTCGCTTATGGCCCATAAATATTTAAGCCGAATTGTACTTATGTTCATTGGTTCTGGCTTTAAGCTTCAAATGCTGACCTAGTAACTTGTGTTTTGCCTCGTCTGTCAGTCTGTCTGCCAGTCCGTTTGTCTGTCTGTCAGTCTGTCAGCCCCTCTGGCGCTGCCTTCGGTGTGCTTTTAGGCGCTCTGCAAGCTAGTTGCTGTCTCATAATTTATTTATTTTGCCATGAAGTAAAAATGAGAGGCAATGCCAAAGAAAGCGCCAAGTATTTGTACTAAATAGTTTAACGTTTGCCCTGAAATTTATTTTGGCCACGTTGCTCATTCGGCTGCCTGCCTGCAATGGCATTGCCTTTGCCATTTCCAGAGTCTTCCCAAGTCAATTTGTGGCCATCAGTTGGGCTCAGACCCTCTGACAGATGCTCAACTGCTCGAGAGCAAACAAAAATGTTATATTCAGGTGAGCGCAGCGTTTGGGGAGGGGAAGGGGAAGAGCAATCAGTCTGAGTCTGTGCACAGTGACTGCAATAAGTAAATTACGCCACGTATTTACACTCAGAAACTTTTGACACATTGAATTGCATTTAATTTTAATTTGCCCAATTGCAAATTAAAAATGCAAATGCGTAAAATGTTTTTACTTTTTAAAGTAATTAATAAAGAGATAATGTGCTTAAGCACATTTTCATAAAATTATGAACCAAACGACACACACGTACACACACACACACACACAAAAACAGTCAGACACACAGACACACAGTTTGAATTGCGCTGAGAGCTCATTTAACTTTTTAATTGTGCATTTTTGTGTGAAGCTGACGGAAGAATGAGAGGAAAAACGAAAATAAATTTAAGTAAAGTCAGACCGGCAATAAGCGCATTAATTGCCAGGCCAAAATAAGTGAGAGCGTTGAAAGCACGTGTTATAAGGACTATAATATACCCTCGCAATGCAAGCCACTATTTAATTAAGGAAAATCGATTTCATAAATAAATATATAAGAGAAGCATTGAATAAAAATAACATTATATCAATATCAATATCATTGCGATAGGTAAATAATATTATTTTTACTAAATATTGTATTAACAAAAATCGTATCGGTATTTAAAGTCTCACAGAGTGCAAATTTTGTATGCTGCAAATTTACCAGTTGTTATCAAAAAGTATATGTAAAAAGTGTAAATAAATCGATATTTGGAACTTTATCGATATACCCCACTGTGGAGCATGGACCAGGGTACATGAATTGGTTTTCGAGTGACTGCGCCGTGAGTCTAGTGCGCCTCAGCGACTCGGAAACGAAGCGACGCGCTTGAGGCATGTGAAGTGACCGCAATTAAAAGGAAATTATGCGTTCTTTCTTTATTTGCAGCGCTGCGGCTTGAGCTTTAGTTATAACAGCTGGCTGTTGCGGTAAACAGTGGGTGCGACACGTTAACGGTAACTGGTGCTGGCATTGGAACCGGAAACGGAAGTGCTCATAGTCGGCTGGCGGTGCACAGTGCGGGCAGCAACACGGCAACAACGGCGGCCAGAATTTTTTCACGTTTGGATAGCGTCGAGGAGGTGCAACGCAGTCGCAGTGGCAGCGCTGTTGGAATAACGCCCGGCAGTGGTGCAGTGGCAGCGGCAGCGGCAGCGGTGGCAGCGGGTTCACCAGCCAGAACTGGCCAGCAGCAGCAGGCTCAGGTCGGCGGTGTCTACGGCAGTGTGGGCAGTGTGGGCGGTGTGGGTGTAGGTGTGGGTGTGGGTGTGGGTGCGGGCGTGGGCGTGGGCGTGGTACCCGGTACAGGAGTCGGCGTCGGCGTGGGCGTGGGCAATGCGGCAGGGGCGCGTAATCGCAGCGCCAGCACAATACTCGAGCTCGGTCAGAGCGGCACGCTAGGCGGCAGTCAGGGCGCTCACACGCGCAAGTATTCCAGTGGCGGCAATGCAGGTCTGCTCGCTGGCGATGTGAATGGCTACGGAGACAACGCGGCGACTGCGAAATGCGATACATATAACGGCGTGGGAACGGGTGCTGGTGTCGGTGTTGGTGTTGGTGTCGGTGTCGGTGTCGGTGTCGCAGGCAGAGGCATTCCACAGGAGAGAAGCTCAATTGGATCAGTTAATGTGCCAGTCACAACAGTCAGCAGCTTGGGAATAACGCTCCGTGAACGTTTGTCTAGCGTCAGCGGTGCATCATCGGCAAGTGGAACGGCTGGCGAGGCTGGCTTATCGGCAAGTGCTGGCGGTGCAGCTGGTGGCTCAGCGCCAACAATAGGCGGCAGCAGCGGCAGCGTGCCACATTGCAAGCGTCAGGGCAGCTTCTCGAATGTATTCTCAAAGCTAATCGATGGTACGTCCGCTGGCACAATGTTCGCCAAGTTCAAAAGCGCCAACGTGGCGGCCGCCACATCCACACAGAATGTCGCCGAGGGCAATCCCATAACGCAGTACTTCGAGATTGGCAAGCCGGTGGCCTCTGCTGGGCCAGAGCTCATCTGGCGCATACACGATGGGTATCGTAAGAGTGACAACAAGGTGAGCGCGCCCAACAATCTGTTGCTTCCCCCCAACTCCAGCCCCAGCCACGGCCCCAGTACACTCTAGTGTTACGCAAATACCCCTCCTCTATCCATAGGAATGTTCGGTGTTTATATTTGAGAAAAAGGTGGCAGAGAAACTGCACAAGCCGCGCCGCAAGGAGACCATTACAGAGCTGCTGAAGAGCTCGGTAAAGACATTGGAACGCTTTCGTCATCCCAGGGTGAGTGTGCAAATAAAGGGTATATAGGCATGCATATACTTTCACCAACTCTTTAACAAGCAGTATATATTATGTAAATATGTATGTATATAATTATGTTTAATTAAAGTCCTGTAGGGACAAAGACTTTTAATTGGCTAGTCTAACCAGAATAGTCGATTATATTCGTAATCAACTTATGAGTAAATATTACATCAAGCCTAGTTCTACATTCTAAGGCCTTAACTCATATAATATCAGACCGAAGTTGGCTAAATCAACTTCGCTTTTGATGCCTTACTTTAGATCACGATACCGATTTTCATTGAGTACAGGGTATAACAAGCATAGAAAAAAGAGTTCAAGTAGATAAGCAGATTATGTGAATAATAAAAATATATCTCTTTTAATCTTCCTTTTCAAATCTGTATCCACATTTTGATCTATGTCTATAATGTATGTATATGTATGCCTGTGAGGATAAAACACATTTCTTAAATTACATTTACACAATTTGCTTGCTCACATTTGCCTTATATTGTCCATTATCCATTTGATCTCTCTAACCAACAGATACTTCAAATCTATCATACCGTCGAGGAGAGTGCGGATACGTTGGCCTTTGCCGCAGAGCCCATTTTTGCCAGCCTTTCAAATGTGCTGGCCTTTCATGTGAGTTGTTTTTGTTGTTGTTTGGTTCAGTTCACAGTTTTCAGCTCTCAGTTGTGTTCAGTTGAGTTCGGTACTCCGCCGGGTAGCTGACCAACAGGATATGCAATTTTCGTTGTCGCCCTCTGCTCCATTGTGAATTTGGCTTCGTTTTTAGGTTCTATGCCTTTTCCTGGCAGCTGTTTCAATCAAATGTTGTTTTTGTTGTTGATGTTGTTGTTGTTGCTGCTGCTGCTGTTCTTTTTTGTGTTCGGTTAAAGTTTCGTATGGCAGCCAGTCAACTGCATAGTTTGGCTTTCGGTTCAAGTGCCAGGCAGCACAGCAATGTGACGTATGCATAAAGCACGCACACACCCTCACACACGCCCATACTAGCCAACAGACACACACACACACACACAAATACAACTAAATTGAATTATACTGCGTGCTGGCAGAGTTTACGCTGTGGAGATTGAGTCAATAAAATGATTCGTTTTACTTGCAAAGCTCCGAAATTGATACACACACAGACACACGCACACACATATATATATAGTCAAGTTTGTGCTATGTGCTTTGTTTTTTGCCAGGACAAGCCAAAACTGCCAGACAATATTTTAGTTTATTGAGGTGCACACAACAACGACAGCAAAGCAGCAGCAATATCAAAAACTAAAAAAGACCGAACGCAATTCCAACAAAAGTCGAATCGAGTTAAATTACATTGAAAATTGCATGGGTAAAACCCAAATTGTTTTACAAACTAAACAATATGTTCAAGAATAATGGAACAAAAACACACACAAGATGTCAAAGTTGAACTTAGTAAAGTATTTGTTCACGACAATTACATACAACTATTTGTCAGAAGAGGCAAACAATTAAAGAGCTCTTCAGTTAAATAACCACACAGGACTAAGACTACTGTGCGATTAAAGGATGTTTTGTATCTGGCTAAAAGTTGAATTTAAGAAACGAAAAACATGTTCAGACTGAAGTCAAAAAGCTTAAGTAAATAACTAAAGAGTGTTAGTTATTTTAAAGCTTAAATGAATTCAACATTGTATATATAGATCCTGCAGTTCCTTAGTCTACTCTCTCGTTCCCCATAGAAAGCAAAGTTCCAGCAATAAGGCAACTAATGTTGTTTCTTTACCAAAACTACAATATAAACTAGAAATATTATGGTCCCACAAAAATCTAGGTTTGCAGCAGATTTTACAAGCTACTTTAAGAGCTACATTTGCCACATGTTTCTGCACCTTAATTTCTTTATTGTCTGCAAAGTTTATGACTTCATGACATAGTTATTTTACCCGCTGGGAGGCTGCGAGAAAAGTGAAAAGAAAAATGCGAGAAAAATTGAAAAAGCAATTGCCATAAAATGCAAACAGAGCATTACTTTTTTTGTTTTTTTTTTTTTTTTTTGGGTGGGTGGGCTGGGTGGTTTGGTTGTGTGAAGTTGAGGCTACGTGTCTGCCAATTCTTATGCGGCACGCTGTCTTGCAGGAGTCGAAAACCTATGAGAATGCCAGCGTGGCGCCAGCAGCGGGTGGCGGGACGCCACAGACGCAGCCAGCAGCTGGGGCACAGCCCCAAAGGCCGGCGCATGCAAAGGAATACAATTTCTTGGATATGGAGCTGAAATATGGATTCTTGCAGGTAAAGCAAACAACTCCATTCCAATGTGTGGTCCACTCAATGACAGAGAAAGACTGTGTATATATGGAGATGTATACTTTTTTTTTTGTTGTAATGCTTTCTCGTTTTCAGTTAACGGAGGCTTTGTCCTATTTGCACTATTCCGGTCACGTAATTCATCGAAATGTGTGTCCATCTTCTATACTAATAACCAAGCGGGGCATTTGGAAGCTGGCTGGCATGGAATATGTGGGTGAGTTTCAATTGAAATGAATACGAGTAGCCACTCGATTTGTATTCATAATTCTTTTCGTTGTTGTTGCTGTTGTCGTTGCTTTGCAGAAAGAATGAATGAGACTGATTTGAATAGCTCAATTCCGTGCCCACCATGGAGCAACAGGGTATCAAAAATGGCACAGCCCAATCTGGACTTTATGGGTAAACAATGCGTGACCATTAAACACATATCAACTTCCATTTGAATAACAAAAAAACAAGAAACTGAAATCCAATCCAACTCTCAATTACAATTCATTGAAATCTAGCGCCCGAGACGCAGACGAGCTCCAAATGCAGCCTGCTGAGCGATATGTTCTCCCTGGGCATGGTCATCTGTGCGGTGTACAACAATGGACGACCACTTATACAGGCCGGCAACTCTACATCCAACTATGCCAAGCAATTGGAAACGGTAAGAGTCTTTGCTAGCTAAATTAATTTGCCGCCTGAGCCTGCGGCCAGATCCGAAGCCAAGTAGCAAGTGATGCGGCTGGGGTAAAGTTTTTTGTGTGCTGCTTGTGTTTGCCGGCTGTAATTAGATTCGCCGCTTTGTCAAATGCAAATGTAATCAAAAGTCCACTTGAAACTCTAATTATTCAGCCAGGTGCCGAAGCTGAAGCTGTAGCTGATGCTCCAGATGCCTCCGGCCATGTCATTAAAACTTTTGGCCCCATTCAGCCAGACTTCAAGTGTTTGCGTCCAATGTTGTGGCCAAGTTTGTTGTTGTTGCTTCGCTTTTTCCTTTTATTGGTCATCTGGCTTCAGTTGTCGTCGTATATCATGGATCGCTCTTGACTTTACTTACCTTTTCCAGCTGGATGACCATGTGCATAAGCTGATGCCGCGGCTGCCCATTGCTCTGCAGGAGGCGACATCGCGCATGGCCAGTCGGGATCCGACAGCGCGACCCACCGCTCAGTTGCTGCAGCTGATCAAATACTTTATGTGAGTAGAAAACTAGCTAAATTGTCGCAGTCACCGCCCCTGACTCCGACTCCGACCCTGCCCCCTGCTCAACTGTCGCATATCTGCTGCAAATTAATTAACTTTTAACTAAACGCAAAGCAAGCAAAAGAAAAAGCAACAGCAATTTGCGCAGTTTTAGCAGAAAGTTTTTTGTTTGAGTTTCAAATGAAATTGACACCTGTTAAAAACACGCACACACACACACACCCCTCTCACAAACACACACACATAGACAAACAAGACACGCAATCTCTAAGCCAATTTGTACATGTAGCTAAAATTCAATTGAAGCATTTACTTTTACCTAACCAAGGACAAAACGCACACACCCACACACCCACACACCCACACTTGCATACACAGACACCACGCACAAACACACACACGCTTGCATACACAGACACCACGCATAAACGCACACACACATACAGACGCACACCTTAATTACGTCTGTTTGGTAAATGAAAGCGGTAATCAGGCTTGAAAGACACAATGCGAATCTCTTGAGCTGATTGTGAGTAGTGGAAAGCGAACGAAGCGCTTCGCTCTGTTCCATTACACTGCGGAGAGCGGCGGATTTATGACGACAGCAGCTGCTAGGCAGACCGCCAACAGGCTCCATCTGCCTGGCGTGGTAGATGCGCCAGAAAAAAAAATAAAATAAAACTCGCAGACTGCCAGGCAAGCAATGCACAGTGGGCTGTGTGTGCACAAAACTGGCCAGAAAATTTCACTTTTACGCAGAGTATAAAATTTGAAGAAAAAACTCCTCTGAATTAGGTTTTTCGTGAAATATTGAAGTAAAAATAATCGAAAGATAGCAAAAAAAAATTTTTTTAAATTTGTCAGAGCTAGAGAATATATTTTTTTCGGGTCATAGAAAAGATGGGGGATCGAAGCTTTGAAGGCCTTTGAAATTGTGCCACTGTGCAACGAGCTGTGCTTAGACAAACTGAAAGTCACGGCTGAGGCGTTGGCCGCTGGGCTGACAAAATCTTTGGCTTGGCAAAACTGAGTGTTATACGCCCCGTTGCCGCCCACAAGCCAGTCAGCTAGACTGTCAGTCAGTTAGTAGCTTGTTGGCGGCACTTTGAAGTTCATTTAAATGTTATCAACGTATTCAGTGCGTTTTTTAGCTGCGCTTGCAAATAGCTCAACCAGAACTCCCCAGTTCGTGCCGCGGCCCTTATTGCTGATTATGTTGCCCGGGGCTAATCAGATGGGCCAGAGAGGCAATACTGGTGGCATCTTGCACAGTGGCACTTTGTGTGCAACGGGGCGCATACGCAATGTGATTTAAGGCCGCACTCATTGTTTAACCAAGCGCAGTTTTTATTGCAACCAATGCCAATGCACATTATTTAACTGGTTTTGCAACTTTTATGGCTATTTTTCAATTACCCGCAACGGCAACGCTCCAATGCCGGGTAATCCAACTTTTGTGCCGTCTGCGCACTACGATAAAAGCTGATGCGGGGCTTCCTGTGGTGAGGTGGGGGGAGAAGAGTGGCGAAAATAAATGCGCACCAGTGAAAGGTAAACAGTTTTTGGTAATTTAACATCAGCCAATTATATTTCCATAACAATAAAAACGCATTTCTATAAACATTTCACACTTCAGTAGCGAAAACTTTGCCCGCAAAAACAACTGAAAAGCACATAAAATTTTGTGCTTAATCCTGTGCTATTTCCATGCACAACTATAGATATTTGTATATATGTATGTATGTGTGCATGCCACAATTGTTTTAGAGATTATATTCATTTTCGCCCGAAAAGTTTTCAACAGCTTTTACATTGGGTACCCGAAAGGGATTAAGTGCCAACAAATTTATTTAGATGTCAAAGTATAATTAAAGTAAGCACAAAAAAAAAAATGCGCATGAAATAAATTTTAACAGGTGCTCAAAACGATCAAGTACCTTCTGTTGACTACAGGGTATGTAAAATAAAAAGAAAAACATTTGCGTAAGGCATTTGTTCTGTTTTGTGGCTAATAAATGTGACAATGGTGACGAGTGTTAATAAAATGCCTGTCATTCTGTATTTAATTTTGATGGACTTTTCTTGTTTTGTATCATTTAGCGATCCGGCTATTAATGCGTTGAAATTCCTCGACGTGGTCAACATGAAGGACACGCAGCAGAAGTCACAGTTCTATAAGACCACCTTGATAGAGGCTATGCCGCTGATACCGCGCGTAAGTATTCCGAAAAAGAAAAGAAAAACGCGCCCGCACCGGAAACGGATGTTGGCCAGCTTTACGGACACATCAGCGTCCATTTTTGGCTTTCTGCCCAGCTCTGTCAACGCATTCATCATTAATGGCATCAAGTTGAGCACTTTGCGGACCCCAATAACAGTTTGCAAATTACGTGCTATTTTATGACAGTTGCAAAACTGTCGTCTGCCATTTGTTTTCCCTGGCAGAGGCGCCAGGAAGCGCCATTGTCTGACCAATTGGAAGGCCATCAGCTACTTGGACGTTATTCCTTACAACTATTGTTGCCCTCCTCTTGCAGAAACTCTGGTGGCAGAACCTGTGGCCCATGCTCAAGTCGGAGATTAACAATGGCGAGGTGCTCGCCGCGGTCCTTCAGCCCGTGATGCTGTTCGTTCAGGAGGCAACGCATGCGGAGTACGATGCCCTAATGTCCGCCACAATGAAGTGAGTGTCATGCGCTCATTATGCGCCCATTTACACACGCACAACTCACACACCCACACACACACACAAACTGCTTAGGCGAAGGCTTACCGCCTACCATTTAACAGTTAAGTAGCGCTGACCTTTTGTTATTGTTGTGCTGGCTGTGTATGTGTGTGTGTGTGTGTCTGTGTGTGTGGTTTCTGTGGCTGTGGCCACCACGATAGCTCCTGGGCAAGTAAACAATGGACAGTCGGCGGTGGCGACTTCAACTTTTGTGTTGCTCTTGAACAATTGAAAAACTTTTGTGACACTTTTTATTTAATTTTCATGGCGTTTTATTGCACCCACACACACACACACACAGCTAGAGGAACGCCACAGTATAGACAAGCGGCAGCTCATATTGTAATTTATAGACCACAGGCTGAAGTTAAAGTTGGCAGCGTGCAAAGTTTTGTGATGGGGCCAACTATGTCAGGACTATGCGCACCTTTTGTGGCCTCGTCGCCGCCTGCCAGGCATCTATAAATTAGTAAACCACACGGATCCGGCTGCAGCTGCTATACACGGCGAGGGGAAATCAAAAAGGCAACATCAGGTTTTTCATTTCCATGATAATATATTTCTTTATCGATATCTCTTGACTTTTGAAAGCGTTCGCTTAATATATCTAGCCTTAGATACATAGTGACTAATTTATTACTTTTCTATAAAAAGAAAAGTTCGAATAATTTAAAATGTGACTGTTGGAGTACAAAGAGGATTAGATCCTTCCTATGGAAGATTCCCAATCAGTAAAGTATTTGAATAGCAGCATTTTAAGAGATAGAATATCAATTCGGAGATGTGAAAATAGGATATCTCTTTTATACAATAGTACTGGCTCAAATATGCCTGCAAATATCTCTGATTAAATAGCAACAAGAATAATTTTCTAAGCATCGCAAGGAGCCCTCGTATTGGAATAACTTTTGAGTTGGGCGAAAAAAGTTTTCGGACTCTTGTAAGACGCTTATTGACACTGTCATAAAAGTTGCAAATAACAACTTTTCACGCACACACACAAATTCAACGACTCACAGAGAGGCACACTCAAAGCCCGGTTAGTGCGACAATAATGACGCCTTTATTTGGCATCATTTTTTATACAAATATTAAATAAATGTGACGGCAACGAAACTTTTCGCCAAGTCAAATAAAAATAAGTGTATGTATATATATATTATTTTCCTTTGTATCCCTGTCAACAGAATTGTCTATAACACACCGAAATCCATTCAGGCGAGCGTCACAATACTTGAGAACTTGCACTTGATAATTGAGAAAACGAAACCGGAGGATGTCACCACAGATATAATGCCAATGTTATTCTTTTCATTCGACGGATCCACAATTCAAGTGCAGGTAAGCACAACTCGAAAACGTTCGCTTCAGTTTACCTGACTTGGCATAGATATGCAAATTAGCCAGACAGCTGCAGGAAGTGAGAGAGAACTTGATGGCGACAGAGGTGGGGAGAATGGGATTGGGAGAATGGGTTGACAAGTCAACTGAGTTGGCATTTGCCTTAGCGTTGATTGTGTAATTACAGCAGAAATTTCTTAATTAACTCTGGCACAAAGATGCCTCTTAAGCAACTCGGTTGCCACTTCAAATTTATTGCCTACGAAAGTTCTTCTTATTTGTAATACTTAACCATGGACTCTTCAACAAGCCTAGGAAACAGTTTTTGACACTCGGAATTTCAAGTAGCTAAATATCGTTTGTAAAATTAACTAGAGGCCTCTTGCGGCATACAGTTAGTTACTTGAAATAAGAAGAATTTCTATTGTAAGGTAGCAATGTCCAGATTTAACGTGAAAAGATTGATAGCTGAATTATCGGAAGATAAGGATGTCAGAACATTCGATCCTTTTGCTCAACTTGAAGCTGATAATAGAACCAAGCAGCTGTCATAGTTTCATTGATTGATTATCTCAGAGATACCCATTGCATACGTCCATATCGGATATTCTCTTATTAATAAGTATTCCTGTAATATAATAATTTGCCATTACACAGAGCGCGGCTGTTGTGGCCGTGGCCAATGTGTTTGATAGCATTGATGAGCTGTCCATTCGTCGCATGGTTTTGCCCAAAGTCAAATTGGTATTTGAGAAGAACATCACGGATCCAAAGATAGTGCAGAACGTGCTCATGTGCATTGAGCGTGTCATGGACCGCATGGAGCGGGCACAGGTGCGTTTACCAACTAATCCAGTCTCCAACAAGCCCCATTGAACTGTTGCCATGGCATAATCCTGCAGGTTATGGAGGAGGTGCTGCCCTTGCTGGCAAATGTCCGCATACCAGATCCGGATATTATCATGCGGACTGTGCGTAAGTAGAACAAACAACCTTTGCACTGGCTAACTCCAGATAAATTCAATTGATACTGACTGCAAAAGGTTAATAGAATTTTACACGCACACACACACACACACACACAAACATACGCAACACACACACACTCATTCCTATGGAAACGACCAGCATTGTTATTGTGGAAATAAAAACTAATTAAATATCATAAAATTGAATCTGAGCCAACTGTGTGTGTGGGTTAAGGCATGTGACTGTGAGCAGTTGTATAAAACGGGTTTCTTAAATTTAATATTTTTATAAAAAAGAGTATATTGTTCTTGTTTAGTCCGTCTGTTACGTAAGAAGGTTTTATATAATTTTGCAACTTGAGACTTGAGATATGGACTATATTTTCTAGCTTCTATAGCGTTTGTTATACCCTGATCCTATTGAAAATAGCGAAAAAAGGTTTATTGATTTTGTGCAAACGTATGTTACAGGCAAAAGAAAACATCTCCGGCCCCATTAACTATATATATATTATTGATCAGCATATATAGCCAAGTCGATCTAGCCGTGCCCATATGTCTGTCCATCAGTCCGTCAGTCCATCCGTCCGTTTCTCCGTATGTACATATTTCTAGAGATTTGAAATTTTAAATGTAGGAACGATAAGCGAGATCAAAATCTATATCGAATCCGATATAGATTGAGCAAAGCTCTTTAGTTATCATTGCTGGTGTCACCAATTGTAATATGTCTCTTCTACAATAACATATACAGATTCAGTATATCTCATTTTATAGCCACTGCACATCCACCCTTCTCCTCCTTTGAACGACCAGCATTTGGTATTGGTAGAAGAAGGTTCAGGGTATCCCCTAGTCGGACATTCTAACCAGAATAGTCTTACTTGCTTATAACATGAAATACTGTGTGTGTGTTTGTGTTTGATTAGAATTACGCAGCGAGCAACAACAAGAACCTGACAGTTGCTTACTATTAATGATATGGCATACAATTTGCAGGCATCTACCACAAGCTGTTTGCGGACAAATCCTATGGCTTAACTGTGGAAACGATGGCCACCAATGTGCTGCCCCTGCTCATACCGCACACTGTCAATCCGTCGTTGAACTTTGAGCAATATTGCTATCTGCTTGAGGTAACATATTTGACTATGAGTCAGCCAAAAATGTTCGGTAATTGCAAATTTTGGATGGCAATTGCCGTGGCCATCGTCCATATTGCAGGTGCTGCAGCAAATGCTGGAGGCCATCGATCGTCAGCAGCGCAACAAATTGAAGCTGGACAACCTATCGATGGCCTCGCCGGAGCGGCATCGCACATTGCGGCATCAGTACTCCACGGACAACATGAATGCCCCACCATTCAATATACCCAATTTGCGTATTGATCAGCGCAAGACATCCAGTGCCGAGGATATGGCGCGCAAGAATTCTGGTGGTAAGTGGAAAATCCGACAAGTGTGCAGATGTGCCAGCTGCTATGACAGGTATGCCAGGTAGGCGTGCTCGCTGTTGATTGCATAATGAATAATGAGCTTAGCCGCAAGAGCGGCTTAATTGAACATTTTCATTTGAATTTCCACTCGGGCTTTCCGTTTGATATCCATGGTACGTGACAGTTTAGCAGGTTGGCCGCCTAATCAGACCGTGTCCAGGAGCGCTCACTAATTTGTCAAACCGAAAATGAGCCGTGAGCAGCGGCATTTAATTGTGTTATGCAAATGAAAATTGGAAATTAAAATGAAAATGAAAATTATAATCAAAGCCAGTGAGGCGGCTGCCCGCAGCCCGCGGCCACACGGCAGCCGGTAGCGGAGGCGGAGGCGGAGTCGGAGTCGGGGCTTGGAACGTGTTACCTGCACCTGCAACACTTAATGAACTTTCAACCTTAACGATGATTTATTATGATGTCCTTAATCGCTTGTAAACACAATGTCATGGCCCTTGGGCGTGCGTGTGAGAGTGGGGCAAACTTTTAATTTGACGCAAATGCACGAGTTGGATGCAAGTCAAAAAGTCGCTCGGTTTTTCGCACCCGACTCACATTTCACGGCCCGTTGCAATGTCAACGAGACGAACGTGTCTGTGTGTGTGCGTGTGTGTGCGGCTTTCTCTCTGGTAAATTACGTGAGCCAACTGCATATTGCAAATTGACATGTTGCTGCCACGCTTCCCACTCAAGTGCAAAGAGATTGGCTGCTGCTGCGTGCTATGGCCAATGCAACAAGCAGCAGCAAATGGCAAGTGGCAAGGGGCAAGGGGCACTGCGGCAACGCTGCGGTTTTTGTGGTTAACAGTAAACAAACACAATATGTTGACGATATATGGCCTAGCCGTGTATGTGTCTGGGCCTTGTGTGCTTTACACACTGTACTTTGCCAGCTATCATAAGCACATTCAATATTTACGCTTCATTGCATATGTTTTTGCGATATTACGCATACGCCTGGCTGGTTGCTTTCAGTTGGATTTTTAGCGTATACATCAAGCTGAATTGATGTGCCAAAAGTATTCTTAAGAGTAGCATTTTTAGTTTATTGAGCGTAGAATTGAGTGTGGTATTAAGAGATTAAATCCAGGCAAAAGACTTGTTTGAGGCAAAACATAAACATATAAACAATATTTTAGCTGTACAAAAAGCTCTTTTAAGCATTTTATATAATATATCCTTAGCATAAATAATGGTTAGTTAAAAAGTGAATTTAATTATAAAAAATAGAAAGTAATGATATCTTCGGAACGCCGAAGATTATGGAAAGTTTCAAGACCATAGTATTATAGCTGAACGACTAGCGAACAGATAGACAAATAGACAGACAAAAGCTATATGAACTCGCCTGTTCATGCTGATTTTAAATATATGTTTATACATTTTGGGTTCGGGGACGTCTGCTTTTATGCGTTATACATTTTATTAAGAAATAATAATAATAACTCTACAAAACAGAAGTATAATTCGATTTACGTTCATATGTGCTGTTCAAGTACAGCCATCAAATGAACAAGAAGTTAAATAAGTTTTCCGATAAATGTCAGTTTTCCGATAAAAAGCAGAAAAAAATAAATTGCTTTGTGTTGAACCGACTAAGAACGCATGTTGATATTGTTAACTTGCAATTAAATATAGTGAAATTATTGAGAATATGTTAGGCACAAACAGGAGAGTCGTAAAAAATTAAGCAGAATTTTATTGATATACCTTTCGCATTTTTTCTTTAATAATTTTACGAATTTTTGTGCGTTCATAATTGAATTTCATGGGAAAGCACAATTTTTTTGTAGGCCGTGAATAAGAGTGAATGGAATTGGATGCAAATGCCACAGTTGCAGCTCAGTGTGCAAACAGTCAAGTAAATAACTTTTGACGCAAATTGCCAGGTGCAGGTGCATCAGCAGCAGAGGCAGGCGGCTTGTGGGGTCAGGTGGTGTGGGGTGGGGTACAAGGTGTACAGTTACGAGTCACATGCAGTAGTTGCCGCAGCTGCAACCGCAGATTTTGCGTTTGTCCTTGACAATGACAGCGGAGCGAATGCACACACACAGACACAGAGACAGACACGGACATGACATTGCCACACGTGGCCACATACTGTGGCAGGCACTGTACAGCCGAAATATTTTGGAGAAGCTTGCAGGATGCACAACAACACATTATTAAACCTAATTAGCTGGCCAATGTACGTGATAATTGTAATTCTGCATAATGCATCTTTGCATATTTGTTCAGGCTCTGGCATGCTGGGCGGCTGGTGGTTTGGCTGCTCGCCATCGTCACCGGATAGCAATTTCCTGCGCGTCGGCAATGTGTTTCCCAATCGACGGCTCTCGGACAACACGCTGATGACACCAAAGATACGCATCGCGCCCTCATGCGCCTCCTCGCCGGGCGGCACACCGGGCAGCGGCCTGCCCACCCGTCGGCACTCGAGCATTGGACCCCAGGAGCGACGCGGCTCCACCATCAATTTGTCACCGCCAACTGTAAGTTGTTTGTGTTTTGGGATACGCGCTTACACGTTTTGGATTCTTGTTTATTATTATTTGTTTTGTGAGCGCAATTTTGTTTTGTTTGTTTTTTTCTGCCTTTGTGGTCGCTTCATTTGGCATTCAGTTGAGTTTCGTTTCTCCCAGTTTTGTGCTGCTGCACTGACCTCTGCTCTCTATTGTTTGTTTGACTGCTGCCAGTCACAAAGGACACTTTCAGATATTTTATTAACAAAAAAAAAATGAAAAAGAAAATAAATCTCCTTTTAATGCGCTTTCAGTTTTTCAGTTCCTTACAATTGACTTTTCGAGTTCTTTTCCCCTGCCTTTACAATAGAGTTTTACTTTTCAAATTGTATTTACCCATAGCGCCTAGCGAGTAGCATATAGCGTATTTTACAGTTCAACAACAACAAAGTACAGTTGTCATCACAAAACTAAAGCTACAGCTACTTAACTATAACAACAAAGCCGCTCAACATTGCGCACATCTTGAGAACAACATGAACATGAGAAACATGCCGTTCTATATTATAATAATTATTTTAATTTATATTTAATTTTTATTATATGATTACGAACTATTTTGTATATTTATAAATACTTATGATCAGCTCATTTCCCGCAATGAATGATAAGAAGAAGATAACCAAAATATCAATTTGCCAAACGCTCTAACACACGCTCTTTTATCTTATCTTCACTCTCCCGCCCCACCATTCGCTCGTCTCAACACAATAAAAATAACTAAAAAAAAAAAAAACAATATAACACAAAACAAATATTGTCGCCGTCGCCGTTGTGTCTCTTTGCAACTTTCCTTCGCTTTCCTATAAACATATGTATATATAAAACATATTATATATGCATATATATATATACATATACCATATATAGTACGGCGCCCGAGGTAGCTCTGGATCGAGTCTATCGGTGCCCTCCACCTCAGCCTATGTTGTAAGTCTAAAAAACACAGAAGTGATTTACAAATTGATATTCATATATTGTGCAACAAAATAATAACAATTACAACCACAACCACAACCACAACAACAACAACACGCTGTGCTTGGGTCCATTTGTAGTTGTGCAGCATCCATATTCAGAGAGAGCAACGATATTGTCTTGTGGTGTTTGTTAACTGTTCTTGTTTTCATTGTGGTTGTTGTTGTTGTCGTCGTCAAGCAGTCAACATTTGCACGACATCAAACTCAACTTTGTACACAACTTCACAAACACAAACACACATACCCACACACACTGGCGCACGCACACACATTCATAAACAAACGGCTGCTAGCAAAAGTATTTAGTTGGCCCCGAAATGTATGCTACAGTTTTTGTGTGTGCAGTCCCCAAATATGTCGACCGGAAGTCGCTCGCTCATACCAACTTGTTTCTGGCGCTCGCTCTCTCTTTGTCTCTCTCTCTCTCTCTCTCCGTATCTCTGTTTCTCTTACTCACTCACAAACCGTAAAACTTTTGCTCTTATTGAACATGTGCAACCGCAACTTGCAAGTCAGTTTTGGATATGAGTTTGAATTTGAATATAAAAAGTTGCATTTGAACTGTTGCCTAACTAGAATCTAAAACTCGTATGCTGCCTGAATCGTTCTGATACTCTCTGTACTTACCTTGACGTGCTGCCTGAATGGAAAATGTAACAGCAAAAATTCGGTTTGATTGTATCTTTGGTTTATTCTTTTTCATTTATATTTGTTGCCTTCTGTCTATGTATTGAACTTTAACTAATTTGCAACTGTCTTGATTTACATTTTGTACAGTCATTTCTATGATTGTTTTTTCCGTATACTTATATTCAAGAGGCTGTTCTCTTGTCTCTGTGGGCGTGCCAAGCCTTCAAACCGGCTGCTTATGCTAATGCAGTGTATATGAAAAAGTTGACATTTACTGTTTGTTTGTGTAAATTCGAAACTTGACTTTTTTATACTTTGTTCTTTATTTTATATACGTTGTAAAATTTTTGCATTTGTACATATATAAATATATATATATATATATATATATATTTTAAACCTGTTGAGAATTGTTATGTGAATGCAAAGGAGCCGTAAGTAAAGGTCACATTTCAAGAGGGTTTTTTTTACTGTTTGTCAACGTCGCTGGTTTCGAAAATGTGCATCAACTGTATACTTTTTGCCGTAATTAAATGTATTAAAAATATTTTTTTAAAAATTTCACACTTGACAAGGCGATATTTCAATTTGCATACTTGATGTTTCTGTACTATATATGAAGTCTTTATGTCTTTAAAAGAAAAATAATTTATAAAAAAAAAAGAAAACTAATGGCGAATAGGTATTTGGAACACATTAAACACGAATGAAGCAGACACCACATACATCCAACAATCCGAAGAATAAATAATTCGAAATAAGATATTGTTTAACTTAACTTATTCATTAAATGTCCCGATCGTGTTCAGTTGTTGATTTGATTTTGTGTTTGTTTTTGTATTTGTATTTTCTTGTAATGTTGCGTTGTCATTTCGACTGGTATATAAAGCCAAGACACACACACACACACTGGCTACACAAATACCATCACACAGAGCTATACATAAGAGTTTAAGTGTATTTCTAATGTTTGTGCTTTTTTCCCAATTGATGTTACTGAACTTCTTGTTAAGCGCGCATCTTACGCTGTGGACTACCCATACTTCAAGTCATATAGAGTGCAACACACACTCACACACACACACACAGATACACACACGTACATACATTACTATGCATATATGCTGTATTTATATCATGTGTGTATTTTCGTTTTTCCATTCCATGTACGAACAACAATTATATATATATAACATATAACTATATCGACAAAAAAAAAAAAAAAAAAACATAAATCGAATAAATTAATACAATTTGCAGCTTGCACGGAGCATGATCGTGAGTACACGTTTCATTATTTCGGATTTTTTCAATTGAATTTTATTTGAATTTCGCTCTGCTCTCCGCTTTTAACTATTCACCACACACACACACACACACACACACACCATAACACGCACACGCACTCAGACATGTGTATGCTGATGTTGAATTTTTATGTTAATGTAATTTGTATTTTGAGTTCGAAACGGCGCCCATCCTAACCAAATTTGTGCTCGCTGCGCGTTCTAATTGGATTCCATGTACATACGCGTACTCGATTGATTCATACCTGTTTACTAAGTATTCACTTAATATTCATAAATATTTATGCTACAGTGTTTGCGCTGTGTTTATTCCTGGCTGTTGATTGGGCTCGACGCGAGCTCCATTATTTGATTTGTTGGTTTGTTTGTTTGTTCGATTGTTTGTTTGTTTGTTGCATACTCACATGTCCTGTGTATCAGCTTTAGTAAACACTCATTCACTCAGTTCAGCTGCTATTTAGGCACACTCAAAACTAACAACACTCTGTATTTATTCAAGCACGAAAAATAAAAAGAGAACAAGAAGAACTCTTCAGATCGCACAGCTCGCAACTAAACTGAAGCACCCATGGTGACAAGCTTTAACTAATCTTCCAAAGAAATCTCCTTTATTGTACTCCCAAAAACAGGGTGGCTCCATGCCCAACACATCGAGCAGTGTACCATTTCTGCTGTCATCCAGTATGCAATCGATACGTTCGCGCCGTACATCGACTGTGCTGTCATCGGGTCCACTCGGCTCCGGTTCGGGCCTGTTGCAACAGTTGGGATCCGGCATGGTAAGACAATTAACTTCCGTATCCGGTACGGTTAGTCCGGTGCCGCTATTGCGGGTGAATGGTACGCGCAACAACAACAGCGTCCGAAAGTGTCCGTCACTCAATATAACATTCAGTCAATAATATAACCTGAACGAAATCGGCGGGGCCCAACCTCCGGCTGATTACAACAATTACCATTACAATCACAACAGTTACAACTACAACTACAGCTACAGCAATGTGCGGTACAGGGCGCAGCAACGCAACATGAATCTCAATCTGAATACGCCAAAATAATAAAAGAATAACCCAATCGAATTGAGTCGAAATTTTCGAGAAAAGGTTGTAACTCAAAAAAACAAAACAATATGAACCAAATGAGATTATCACTAAAAGTTGTATGCAAAAATGGGGCAGAGGGTAAAATGAAGCAAACCAAATAAACTTAACTTATTATCAATATATTTACCATATACACGCATATATTTATATGTGTACTTATAATTTACTACTTATATATAGTTTAGTCATACGTACTCAACTACAATTAACAACTAACTAAAACACATTCGAGAATTGTGTACAAACAAAACAAAAAAAAAAAAGATATGTTGTTTTTGCCAATTTTATTAACAATAGCATAATACGCATTCGTAAGTGTACAATAAATGTTAATGTCGCATTGAATACATATCCGATAAATCGTAACGAAAGTTATTTATCACATATACATATATATGTATACTATATACACACATAACTATAACTCATATTATGATTGTTATATTATGTACTTGGTAGCATATTATTGTCATTATTATTATTGCTATTATTATAATTATATCTACTTATTAGTTGTTGCTGCGTATAATTCACTCAAAAGCGAAACACACACACAAACAGGCACACACGCACATACACACACTCACATCGAAATTTGAATACATATTTTTATTATTCAAGAAATGAATATAAATTAATGTCAATTTTTTTGGGCTTTCATTATAAATTGAATTGAATTATTCATTACAATTGATATCTATAACTTACGCAATCTCACACACACACTCACACACACACACACTAACACACACATATAGTATATGCTGTTTGCGCATATTGCAATTGAAATCCCAAAATGTAGTTAAATGTGCAAACGTGATGTTAGTTTTGTTGAAACTCGTTGTCATTGTGTCAAATCAATTGTTATTGAGAATCAAGTCAAACAACAACAAATTAGTTGAGCACATATTATATTTTTTTTTTTTTATAATATTAAACAATGACACTTTAGCGTAGTTAATTTTAAACTGACAGTTGTGACAATCGCTGCATTTGCTTTTTCCCCCCAGAAAGTGGTTTAATTACATGGCTGGGTATGCTCCATTGTTGACTGTAAATATGTAATTAATTTAATTTAAAAGTTTGTTGAATTCTTTGCTTACCTTTTAAGCCTTAAATTGCATGTATTTTGCTTGCAACTGTTTTCAATCATTTGATTGAAATGAAGCTTTTACTATTTCAATTTGCGTTCCAACTAACATTAAAAAAACAAAAAAAAAACATATCGAAGAGTTAACTAATACTCTCTCAATAAGAGGTCGATTTATTGGGTGAATTCACTTGGAATCGAGCGAAAGTAGGCTAAAGTTCAAGGATTAAGTAAATTATGGACAATGTAAATGGGATTTCTGGTTTTGAAATGTTGTCCGAATGAGCTGTAGCAAATGCTCAAAATGCGGATTATGTAGGCACTGTGATAAATGTGAGTCATTAACTAATGCTGTACTTGAATGTGGCTGAATTCAATCGAATGTCCACATAACTAGGCACATTTGTTAATTTAGAATCGGTACAATTCGATTCCAAAACGAATCCTTGATAAATCGACGTCAATTTGAAGAACACATTAAATGCATGCTCGAATTCGTTAAGCTCAGTTCTTATGTCTAAACTAAATTGTGATTGTCTATGAACAGCACAAGAGAAACAACTGAATACACTCATAAAACTCGTACTGTACTATATTCGTATTCGTATTTGATATGAACTTGTATATACGTATATTTATATAAATGGAATTGTTATGTATTTACTATTTACTATTTACTTGACTTGCCATTTTACTTTCTGCCCATCTGCATTGCACAAGAATATATATATAGTACTATATATCTGGAAATACAACTAACGCAGAGATAAATATTAAAATCTATACAACTGAATATCAAGAAGTAAAGATAATGAACATAAGTACCTTTAAGTACATGGAACTCTCTACACTCTTATTTGAATGACTGACACTGAAGACGTGCTCCTCGAGCTGAAGGCGCTGCTAAACTAATTTATACTTAAAACTTAAACTAAAACTTAAACAACTTGCAACTAAACGTATAAACTGACTAACGATGTTGATATGCATTTGTATTTCTACCCAACTCAATTTACAATGAAATCATTGCGAATTTATTGTACTCGTAATTGCTGTTTAAATCTATTATATGCGTGAATCGTATTTTGTATAATTAATGCTATGTATTTAACGATATTGTTGCTTTGGCTGCCTTTGTGCTTGTTTTTATGTTGTAAAAAGCCCCCTCGACCCCGCCTACATTTCATATATGCTGCGTCCCCTTTGCGTGTGTGTGTGTATGTTTGTTTAGCTATTTGCTATTTGATTTGGTATCAATTCATTTTATTTTTGCTATACAACACATCTATTGTTATCGTAAGTCATATATTTAAACTTCAAAATGTGCCTTAAAAGTTTAGAGTTTTCGCATTCTGTAGCTGCATACAAATGCGAAAATTATACATATAAATATACTCGATATACAACAGATGCGAGAGAAAGTAAATACATTTATCAATATATATGTATATTTATGGATAAACGTTAAGTATGCTATAAGTCGAGGAGAATCCAAACCAAACTATCCAAATATTCACTCAAGCCCACACACACTCGCACACACACACACGCCCACCCCCCCTTAACAATTGTACCTTAGTAGTGGTTTTGTAGACAAACACATACAGACAAAACACACCCGCACACACACACACACACCCACCTACACACACACACACCAGTACCAATAATAACCGTAACTAACTATCGATGTGTAGTTTGCATTTGAAGCGACCGAAACATTTCCAAAGCAGATCCCAACCCAAGGAACCCGCGATTTGTAGTCGTATAATGTGTGCATGATCTTGTACCTAGTAAAAAATCCCTTAAATCAATCAATCAATAAAAACCAAGTGCCAAGTATTTTAAAAATCCTTAAAACAAACAACAAATTAATAAAACCATTAGTCGTTGTCCTTTTATTATTATCAATATTCTATATATACTTGTAATAATCATGTGTATACCCCCAGTTTTCTACTCTCCACATACTTATCTCCGGTTCCTTCGTTGTGATCCATGTACGTTTTATATTCGTATTATAATCGGTGTCAGCTACTCTAGCATACATATAACTCAGCCGTATTCAGTATTTATCGGGTTATAGCCGAAATCCCACTCTTTGTATGATCGTAGTTACAAATTTAACATCTCTCTATAGCTTATATTGAAGATCGAGTCAAAATCAAAAATTGATGGCCTAATTATTTTGCAACAACTTTATTACAGTATCAACTATTCTCCGGACGTAACTAAAATGATTATTGAATTTAAATGAAACTATATTATATATTTTTAAAGCAATTTCGGTCCATTAATTAAACACCAATAATGAACTTATCTTAGCGCTATATGTATACAGTATTTACACAATACAAACATTGTAAACGTCAGCCAAAAAAAAAAAAAAAACGAAAACAAAAACAAAAACAAAAAGAAATTTCAATTAATTCTAAATGTTATTAGAGAGCAAATTTGATGTCATCCGAGCAACAATTACTTAATTACAACATAAATATATAAACAATTTATATGTATTTAGAGTACCCAAAATGTGTTAAACACAGTCCAAAAGAAACAAACAAACAAACACGCTCCTAACTCAAATATTGAAACAAAAGCACACTAAAAATATTTGCTAAATGCAATCAATTTATATACTTATATACACTATACTCATGCATATATTATATGAACTTAACTACTTACCTAGGCATTGATTCATGTCGATCATGTGAATACACTCGAATCTATGGCATACATACACACATACATATATCATATACAGAATCATATCAATATTTTTCGAATTATTTAAACTGCAGACATACAAACATGCTACATATCTGTGCAAAGATATATATCAAAATACTCGACAAGATCGGATAAACTTTGCAATGCAGCTTCCAAAATGACAAAACTAACAAAACTGAAAATGCTTTCAATTTAAATTATATATACTGGTCGCTGCTTTTCTTTGGTTGATTTGCAATTGAATTCGACACTTGGAAGCTTGCATTGGTAGAGAATAAAATTTGTCTAGCTACTTATTTGAAGGAAATCATGTACCTAGAGCGTACCTATTCGACACCAGCCAATTCGTACAACAGAGCAATCAATATATCCATACAATAACATTGTTATAAAGCATATATAGCACACAATATTTTTGAAGGCAACCAAGTCAAACAAGCACACACGATTTACGATAAATCTGGACCAAGTGTCATCCATAACTCAACCACCCAACAAATAAACCAAAAATGTTTAGAAAACTGCTACTAAGGTGAATACACACACAGTATCCACACACAGTATCATAGTATCAGTCTATGCATTGTCTCTATGGTAAGCTATTATATTTAACGGTCTGTAACTTTAACTACTTGAGTATTGTGCAAGTCAATTTGTATAGTTGAAATAGTATATATATATATATATATAGTACAGCAGAAGGCAGAGTATAATTGATATACATATATCTATATATTATATACATACATTGATTGATCGGCAAACAGATCGTAAGGCACGAAAACTCTTTAAGCTTTAGGAAAAACAAACACAAACTTAAACAAGAAATGCTTTCAACAGCAGTTTAAACAATTATTATTGTTGTAGTAGATTTAGCTTAGAATTGATAAAAACCAAAATATATGAATTTATATATAAATATATGTATGTATACAAGACAACCTTATTATCTAAAACAAATTCGTATGATCAGTGCTCTGTGCATCATCCAGCAGAACAACACGAACGGGACAATCAAAATTCTACTGACGCTCTTACTTTATGTATTGAGTTAAACAATATGACGAATTTACGTTGTTGTTGTTGTTATTGTTATAATGTGTTTATTGATTTGTCGAGTAAACATAAATTGTGTCCACAATTGAATAGGTTTAATATCCAGCAAACAATCAAACTGCATCAAATCTTAGTTGCTTTTTAGTTATTGTGCATATTTTACGTTCGGTTTAGTGTATTTTATTTGGGGTCTAACAACAAAGCATATCGACATTATTTTCTAGTGTTTAAACGTATAAATATTAGATTAACTTAATTTTAATTAATGTTTATGTAAACAACAAAATAAAAAGGGGAAAACCAAAAGCTCAAACTGGACTGAACATTTAAGAATTATATTATATTGTATTATTATAAACATAATTTAAAAGAAACCAACAAAAACAAACAAAAAAAAAAAAAACAAACCAACCAAAATGTAATATTAAATGGGTATTTATATATGTATGTAAATCTGATTGTATGTTTGTATGATCACTTCAGTTTTTGTATGTGTGACACCTTACAAAAGAAAATGAAAAAACCAAATAAGAAAAACCAAAGGCGTATCAAATCAACTCTGTCTCTTGTGATCTATTGTGATGCTATGAGAGTCCAAGTAGCACTCAACTCTTTTTATGCCTATTAACGTTTTAAACAATACTCTACACTTTTCTATACTCTAGACTATGAAATAAAATTTATTGGCATAACTTGCTTGGGTGTAGCGAGAAATCTTGATAACAATCATGCACAATAAATGATAAATCAGAAGAAAACTTAAGCCAAATTTAAATACTTATATACTCTTTCATATACACTACTTCAAGTAATTGTGTGAAACTAATGAGCCCCTTATTTTAGATTTTAAATGTGCTAACTACTGTTTATACATAGAAATGTACTTAATTATATGTATGTAATTTATCTAAAAACAAAAAACAAATACGTACAATGGACAAGATATATACATGATGCAGGCAGTCTATACACCTAAGTAGGATTGAGATTGAGCAACTTTAACAGTTAAAGGATTGTGACAATGTACGCGTACAATTTAACTCGATAAACAATTGAATTTAAATGTTTAATAAATATGTGTGGAAATGAGTTCGTTCAATAAGTTTATTTCTATAAGCCCTAAATCTATTCATCTAAAAATAATGGATCTAAACTGCATTTGTGTGGCTCCGCTTCATAGTTGTACTCTTGTCGATCAAATAAACTCTGTCCCATGCGCCGCGCCACATTATCCGAGTGATCATTGTTGGCCTCATCTATGAGCAGCTGTAAGCTAAATATTGTTAGTATAAATCCAAGAGGATTACTTTCATTTGATATACCTCAATTTCACGGGAAAGAAACGCTTCGCTGGCCGCACTTAATTTCTTTTGGGGATGCCCAGTTAGTGCGTTCTCCACAAAGCCGTAAACCTCCCTAAAACGTATACATAAACATTAATGTTTACTGTTGTTAAAGTGCAACTTGCCCCATATTGACGCCACCCAGCTGTGCCGGCTCTGGTTGCGCCTCATTAAGCACCAAGGCGTTCACCACGGCTGCTGCTTCGTATTCGCACAGCGTTGACAGCTCCGCCGATTTCAGGAGCTGCAACCATTGATTGATGTGGCTGAGGCTGACTGAATCACATTCCTGATTGACACGTGTCTCGGCATCCTTATAGGCTCGACATATGTAATCTGCGCATAATAATTAGGCTATTTGACTTTACAGAAGCACACTTTGAACGCTTACCAATGACATTCTCCTGATTATTTCGTCGTGCCCATGCGCTTGTCTCCAGATTGGCACGCGTACAGCCATGTTGTTTCAAGTACTCCAGCACAGCGCGCTTGGCATGCTTTGTTACAATGCAATCTGGTTTGTTTTTGCTTGAATCATCCTCATCAGTTTTAATGGGTTTATTTGGGTCCATTTTAATACTTGTAAAACGTTTGCTTATTTGTTGACGAACAGCTGTTGCGCCTGAGAGCTGTCCACTCGTTGAAGTTGCCGTTGCAGCCCTGGTAGTAATTTCACAATTTCACTATGCGACAATGAATGAGTTTAACTTCTTGTTGTTATGATTAATAGATATTGGCCGGCTATATTAAAAGACTATATAATCCCCTTTTCTCCAATATATTTCTTATCTTTTCGAGATTCAGGGGAAAACCAACATCGGCTCAAAGTCCAACAGTTGTATAGATTGGTTGATTTTACCGTTTTTTAATAGAAAGCTATTTTAATTTATTTTTAAATTAAATTCTACAAATGGTCTTGCTGAATAGATGAAGCGTGCATTGTTAATCAACAAAAATGTACGCTTGCTCATTCTTTCAGTGTATCATGCCATTTATGTATATTCGCCTATTTTGTTGCCTAGTGTTATTGGCACACATCGAACAGTGTTAGAATACGAGCGAGAGTGAACGGACGCGCGACGGCACTGCCCTCTGCCACTGCCAGCAGATAATTAACTCCTTTTGTTTCAAAAGAAATGTTATCAAAAAAGCAATAATATTTAGCTAATTTTATTAATATACCACAAAGTGCAATACAAATTTAATAATTTGCTTTTGAAAAAATAAGGATCACAACTGAAATTGCGTCGCTTTAACGTGATCAAAGCGCACACAAAGGAAAACAACGTCAATCCAGTGACTCAAAGTGACTTAAAAGTGACTCATTGCGACTTCCATTGCCATTTCCACTGCCATTGGCACTATCACTGCCTGTTGCGCAGCATCCGCATTGCGTTCAACGAACAAACGAATCAAAATAGAAATAGAGGTTTTTTTCATCATCGTCCCCGACCTCCAGCTGCCATAAAAGGAAGAGATCGTTGCACAGCATGGAGGAAGAACGAGAGCGAGAGCGAGATCGAGAGGTTGGCATGAAGCAGAAACATCGCCAGCACATTATGAGAAACATGGACAAGCTGATCAAATACACTAGCTACAAGGATTTGGTGGCGGAAACAGTGCGCAGGGGCTTAATCTCGCCGGTGATGCGTCGGAACATTGAGGATTTGAACGAGAAGGGGCACAGCATGACCGAGGAGCAAGTGCAGGTGGAGCTGCTTAGAAAGTACTTCGTCAAGATCACAAAACGTGGACCCACTGCCTATGCGGAGCTAATGGCTATCCTACGAAGTCTGGGTTACAGCGAGGCCCTGCGTATACTCGAGGAAATGGACCCGCAGGGCAGCGAAATCCCTTTCCTCTCCCTGAGTCGTATGCATAGCAACAAGTCCGCAGACATTGTAGATACTTGTCTCAGTGACCCACCCGTCGAAATGCCCAGTGTCAGCAACGTGCGTAAGCTTCTCTAGAACCCTTTTCAATTGAAACTGAAATATTTCTTTTTCAGGTATCGGCAATCCACAATGATGCAGATGGTCCGCTGGTGCCGTTTGAGGAGCCCGTGCAGGGAAAACAGCGCATTGTGGTCAAGTCAACACGCATTCATACCGATGACATAACTGGCACATATCCAATGAAATCTCAGCACAATCGTGGCGTACTTCTTATAGTTAACATAATCGATTTCTCGAATCCCGGCTTAAAGCGCAAGGGCGCAGAAGGGGACGGCGACTCGCTCATTGATATCTTTCGTCAGATTGGCTTCAAGATATTCTCGTATAAGAACTTGGATCAAAGGCAGTTCTTCAATACGCTCTCAGCACTCACCAGTTCCCAGTTTGTGCGCGATACGGAATCCTTTGTCATGGTGCTTATGACGCACGGCGAGCGCGCCGGGGAAGTGGACCGTGTGCAATTTAGCGATGGCTCCCTGGCCGATGTGAAGGCAATCATCAATAGTTTCCGGTCGGATCTGTGCCCCAATTTGGTCCACAAGCCCAAGGTGCTAATATTTCCATTTTGCCGTGGCGATAATCCCGATCATGGCCAGATTTTGCCAAAAGTAATGAGAATGCGCATACAAACCGATGGCGTTCCCTTTGACAACGTGCCAACACTGTCGGATATTTTGATTTGCTATGCAAGCACGCCCGGCTTCGAGACGCATCGGGATACCGAAGAAGGCAGCTGGTACATTCAGAAGTTCTGCGACACAATGGCCGAGCATGCACACGACAGACCGCTGGAGGATATACTAAAGAAGACGCACTCAATAGTGGGCAATATGCGCACCAAGTATGGCCATTTGCAGACCGGCGTTTTCGAAGGTCTGGGCTTCAATAAGAAGCTATACTTCAATCCAGGATTCTTTGTCTCCGACTAGCCTAGACTGACGAGCACAAATGAGAGCATTCCCAATCGACTGATTTGCATTTATACGTGTCGTCCCTATTTTAATATGTTGATGTCTATGTTGACATTTCTAGTTGTATTCAATTGTATGTTCGTGTGCTGTCCCCTCCATATCTGCCAGTACGAAATACTCGTATGTATTATTTTTATAAATACAAACTATATTTTGTATAACATAAGTCCATATATTATAAATGTTGACTTAAAACTAGGGCGTCTTATCTGGCCTGAGCTAGACCGCCTACTCGTCGCATTCATCGACCTCCTCCAAATGCGACAGCTGTAATTTGCCCGCTGCGCGAGTTTGACTGCTGCTTTGCTGTTTTTTGGCTTTCCTGGCTGCCTTTTGGCCAATCACATACTCGGGCATCACCAGCTTGGAGCCGCGCAGCTGTGGCTTGTCCACTTCAACGTCCTCCACCTCATTGCTCTTAAGTAGCTTGAGATTGCGATTTAATTTGCTTGTCTTTTTGAACTCAATTTTGTGGGCTGAGCCCGTTCCAGCGTCATTCATATCCTCGGTGTCATCTGAGTCTACATCGCGCTGCGAGTCCATTTCCCTGAGAAAAGATAAGGCCGCTGCCGCGTTGGTCTGATCGGATATGTCCACATCGGAGAGTGAATATTTCTTCCACTTGTGCGGGTTGATCTGGTAGTCGGGCGTCTTTCGCGGCTTTAGGCAACGTCCAATGGGCAGCTCTGGCTTCTTAAAGATGCTCTCCTTGCCTCGCAGGCGGCGCAGCTTCTCGTCCTCGACGTCATTGCCCACCTCAATGCTGCGTCCCTGGCGATAATTCATCACCTGGTTCCTATTTTTGGTGTTGTTGGCCCTCTCCAGGGCGCTTACTGTGTATGGCTTCGCCCTGCTTTGGTCCAGGGGTGTGCCCTTCAACTCTTTGCTGGCGTCGTCGAGGCAAGCAAAAAGTGCATCCCGTTTTGCACTAAATTCTTGCATTTTATTGTTTATTTGTGAGTTTTTTGTTATAATTTAAAATACGAGCTGCCAACTTGTTTGGGGATGCACAGCTGTTTGAGCCGACTGCAGATTCGGTGCTTCCCAACACTTGTCAGTGCCGGTGTGTAGTTAGTGAAGGAAAAGTGTGCGTGCTCCGCGAAAAACAAATAAATCACTAAGGAATCAAGGTGGATATGTTTATAAATTAACATATAAATATTTTAGTTGTATTTGCTAGTGGGTATGCATTGTAAGGAGCACTAGCAAGTGTTTTCCATATAAAATAGTAAACCGAATACAGCCTGAGACTCCATGTGGCTGGGCGCACAGACAGCTTGGTACTCAGGAAAATAGTCGGGGGGTTGATATTATATTATAAGTTTCGATTGATTGATGAAAGATAACTGAAATGAGCTGCATAATATGCAAATGTTCATCAGTTATGCATACTTTTGTATATTTGTGGTAATTTTAATGCTTAGTGTGGGCCGACAGATGCACCCCTGCGTGCAGTGTTGTAAATGTTACACTGACAGCTGCGTGACAGCTGTTTTGTATTTGGAAGCAAGTTTTTTTTTTGTCAAAACGAGGCGGAAACGTGAACAAGTTTAGTTTATATATATATATATATTTGCTGGGGACTAAATGTGCGCAAACCATTTGCATATAGTGGACTGTGATTATTTGTGATATTTAGAATGTCCTTGCAAACGGGTCTGGCATTCATTTTCACAATATTAGCCTCCGTTAGCATTGTAGCTGCCATTATTTTGTTGGGTAAGGCAGTTCGCAGCGAATTGGAATTGGAGCATTCAACGGAACCGACACTAGACATAATATATTCAACTATTTGCAGGCTGGTTTTTGATTTGGAAGGCCTTTCTATCAAAATTTCGTCTGGTGCGCGAACTGTTGGGACAAGAGGAGCCGGAGGAGCAGCAGCTTGTCGGTGGGGAGCAAAATCAAAACGCACGAGCACGCAAAGCGCGACGTGATTAAATAAATTACACACACCCACACACACACACACACACTAACACATACATACATACCCAAACAACCTATATAAGTCGAAGAACCGCCAAGATGAACATACGCTGCGCCAAGCCCGAAGACCTCATGACCATGCAGCACTGCAATCTGCTTTGCCTGCCGGAGAACTATCAGATGAAATACTATTTCTATCACGGCCTGACCTGGCCCCAGCTGAGCTACGTGGCGGAGGATGACAAGGGCGGCATCGTGGGCTATGTGCTGGCGAAAATGGAGGAGCCCGAACCTGGGGAGGAGAGCAAACACGGACACATTACCTCGCTGGCGGTGAAGCGTTCCTATCGTCGTCTCGGCCTGGCCCAGAAGCTGATGAATCAGGCCTCGCAGGCCATGGTCGAGTGTTTCAATGCCCAATACGTCTCGTTGCACGTACGCAAAAGCAATCGCGCCGCGCTCAATCTGTACACAAACTCGCTCAAGTTCAAGATCATCGAGGTGGAGCCGAAGTACTATGCGGATGGCGAGGATGCCTACGCCATGCGCCGCGATCTGTGTGAATTCGCCGATGACGACAAGCCGAAGATCAAGGAGGGCGGCGACGAGCACTCCTCCACTGAGAACAAACACACACACCGGGGCGGCGCACACAATCACAGCGGTCACGATGGTCATTGCTGTTAAACGGGAAAAACCATAAGAAGAGGAGGACAGGAAAACACAATAAGGAAAATGCATGCGGCGGTGTTGTGCATTTCATAGTTGCATTTTAGTGCATTAGGTTTTGTATTTATGTAATAAAGGCATAAAACGCAATTAAATTAAAAGGAAATGACAAAAAGGTGCACAAAACTTTTCTTGCTACATTTATTTAGGTGGTATTCCCCTATATTTGTTTTGGGTTCCTTTCAAAGTTTGCTGCTGGTGCAGCGAAGCGGAAACGTTTCCAAGTGCTGTTGACTTTCGCGCCAAAACTTTTTGGCTGCGCTTCAATTATCTTTTCAAACTTTTACGCAGTTTATTTGTGGGGCAACTTAATTTTATGGCTGCAACTGTTCCCAGTTGTTGCCTTCCAGTGCCATACAATGCGAAAAGCTTACAAATATCCCCCTATTGTGGTACATTTAAGTAAGAGAGGCAGCAGCGCCTGCGCAAAGTTGAGCCGCCGCAACAGCTGTTTGGGGCTTGGCACGTGCACTCTTTTGGCGCCAAAGCAAAACAACTGAGAGAAAGTCCTTGCGAGTGCGAGAGCTGTGCCCACGCAATCACAGCTGTGTGTTGTCAAACGTCAAAGTGATGCTGCTGCTGCCGCCGCTTTGGCTTTGGCTTCGGCTCGCTGAGCTCTACGTAAACGACGTTAGTTCGTGAGGCGCTGGCTGAGCGGTAACGTCACGGTCACGGGTAACGGTTAAACTTGAGCAGCTGTAACAATTTCCAACGACAAGCAAAACGTGCGTTGCAAAAATGTATTTAAAGCAATTCATTTTGCACGAGTATTAAAACAAGTTATAATTTGTCAACACTACGGCTAAACAAAGTACGTGGTGTTAGCCAGTGCTGCAAACTTCTGCGCACATAAACAAGTGTTGATTGTGTGCGTGTCGCGCGTAAAATGTGAAAAGTGAAAGCGAACACTGCGAATCGCCTTTAAAGTTGAACTAAAGTGTATTTAAAGTAAAATATAATTTGGATCAATAAACCAAATGCAGGCGCCAAAAAAAGAAATGTTGAATTTATAACACACGCACACAACAGCGAATAGCGGCGCCCACTTTGCGGCAAATGTGGCAGAGCGCAATGCTGTGTGAAATGTTTATGTGCGAGATGTTGTGAGACAAAAAGGACTCGAAAGCAGCTGTTATTGTTGTTGCCCGAACGGGGTCAAAAGTTCGTGTGTAAGTGAGCCGGACCCCTCCACTGTCTGCCTAATTTCGCCGCATCCACTAACTAACAGCACTAATACTTGTTAAAAGCTCTCAAGTGCAGCTGCCTATGTGTGTGTGTTTGTGTGTGCGTGTGAGTCTGTAAGTGTGAAAGAGAGGCCAGAGCGAGCTGGCAGAAGACGCTGCCCAGACAAAAGCGTCAGACAAGTGCGCCCAAATAGCCTACAGATATACGCACACATACAGCTAAACGTGTGAGTCTGCGTGTGTGTGTGTGTGTGTGTTTGAAAGACAAACTAGGCCAATTCGCGAGCGAGACAAAACCATAAAGCAAAGTGCAGCAAAAAGTAGCAAACAAAAAAGAAATATAACTAAAAACTTCTGCCACATTTGTCAATGACTGAGGAGGGCAACGACTCGCGTGTCTTGAGGCATAACAATAACCGACTGGCCACCCACCAGCCCACCCCCACCCCCCGCTGGGGCAAACAACTCTCTGTCGTCTAACTGAAGGTAAGTCGAAAGCCGCTTCACTTCAAAGCAAACTCCAACAGCGGGTGTAATGACATTTGTCAACCCATATAATGCCAAATGCTGACACCGTCTAGCACTATTCCACAACTAAATCATTATCATCCTTATCATCGTCATTATGGTCTTTGTCACTGTCAACAGGAGTTGCTGCGTCTGTCAGGACCAGCAGCAGCAGCAGCAACAGCAGCGGCAGTCATCGCATCATTTTTAAGCAAACATTTGCTTGCCAGTGCTGCCACTGCTGCTGCTGCTGCTTCTTCTTCGTCTTCTTCTTCTTCTTCTTATTTCGAGTGCTTAGTACGTGTTGGCTCAGAGGATGTCAACAACTTTTGCTTGCCAAGCGGAGATTCCTTTGCTCTCGCCCCTCACATGTTCGGGCGCTTGTTTGTGTCAGGCTGATGAAACTTTCAGTGCTGCCAAAGAGTACGGAGGCAGGCGTCGGCCAATGGGCGTCTGTCAAAACACTTTGGCAAAATGGCCGCCACGCGGTTTCCGTTTCCGTTGCTCAAATGATTGATGCCCACCGCACGCGCGCCTCTAATTAAAGTTATTTAGCTAGTCGCCAGCCTCATTCTCATTCCCATTCTCATCGTCGTCGTCCTGGCACTGCAATTTTTCATTCTTCCACTGGGTCTCGGTCTCGCTTTGAGTGTTTACGGCTTCGATTCAATTAAACAACTGGGTCAGCTGCGGCCACATTGGCAATGGTCAACAGCCAGCCAGCCTCTAGTTCTTGGTCCATTCCGACTGGGCAAAAAATCAACTTGCAGCGTAATTAATTTCCACCATGGGCTATCAGCGACTGCATTCTGCTTAACGGCTAAAAAAAAATATCCTTTTGTGTGAAAATTGCATATTTTAAAAGCGCGAAGTGGAATTAAATTGTGGAAATGCCAACGGATGAAAATATAATGCATGCTAATGCAGTCGAATGGCATGTTAATTGCACATATAGCATACCAAATGTGATAAATACGACTAGGTGTATGAAAACGGAAGAAAGCGAGAAGAGAAAATTAATTATAGTTAGTGGAGATAGGGATATAAACAAGGAAAATACATTAGGAAAAACTTGTAAAGGAAAATAAAACTACAAATGCAAATATGAATTGGGATAAGATTTAAAAGCAGCCAAAGATATAAGAAAACACACTTTTTAAATTCAATTTACATAATTCCATGTGACAATCTTAACGAAGGTCTTAAAAAGGGGAGAAAACTTTCAATGTATTGAGATAAAGTACTTTAAAGCTGGAAAAGTCTTAGTAACTGATACAAGAAGGGAATAGGGGAAGGTTAACTGAAGAATAAACCTAGACGAAGTTGGTTCAAGAAGGGAATATGGCATAACGAACCAAAGAAAAAAGAGTAAACCTAGAGGTAGCACGTCCATTTGAGCACCTGCTGCAGATCCTGGTTAGAGAACCTTGCGAAACATTTTCTGGATTTGGAAGAGTAAAGTTTTCGCAGCCTATTTTAGAAAAGTCAAACTGTGACATGACCTCATGTCAATTACATCAACCGTGTTGCGCTCTTCGCACCGAAATCTCCGGCCGAGAGCAACAGACCGTAAAAAATTGGTGAACCCACACTATTTGTTGGCTTTGTCCAAGGACGTGTATTTATGAATTTGAACCTTTCGCATGTTTCGCTTGTCGTTGCTTGCTGAAAAACATGAAATGTCCATTAAACAAGCACTTTTTTTTTTTTACTTTATCTGTGGGTTGTTTATGTGGCGATTAGTTCCGGAGGGTGGTCGAGCGGGCTTTAAGGAAAATGCTTATTCATTAAAAAAAAGGGGCGAGCTGCGGGGCTGCGCGGCGGCAGCTGAGGTATTCGCTAAGCTTAGCAACATAATTTTGCAGCAATGAATTGGACTTTGCGTCTAATATTTATCTGCCATCGATTTAAATGTCAAGCGGAATTTGTCCTGCGGGAGTCAAGTGTGAAAACTTTGCGCCAAAAAACTTTCTGGCCCCCCAAAAAAGAAAACACACACACACACAGCCAAAGTTGATCAATGAAATTAAAAAGATTTATGATTTTGAGTTGTGCAAGTTGTTCAAATGAATAAATCCCTAAAACTCTACCCACACACACACTCACACAAACACACTCACACACTCACACATACAGACAAAGCTCCGTCGTGGGATTTGAAGTTTTCAAGTGTCATCTGTCCTCTGGTGTTTCCCTTCCCCCCTCAATTACTTTGAATTGCGGCCATTTGGCTTAATGCGCGTACCCAGGTTCACACTGTGGACAGCTCATTGAATTTGTGCCAATAAAAAGGGCAAGCGACAAACAAAAAATGCAAATAAAAATAAAAACTTATAATAATCAGCAAACAAAAGCGCGTTACATTTCATTAAAATCGAAAGAGGTTCGGGTTCAATTTTTTCGGGTTGCGCAAAAGTCAAGTGAAACACAAATTATGTTAATTTAAAGTGAAGGTTACCAAAAAAAAAAAAAAACTGTCCAAAATGTTTAAACGCATTCAATGCACACGAGGCGAACAAAAGGCGTTCTGGCCTCAACAAAAGCCGCACTTTCCAGCTTCAGTTAACCGAATTTTCAAGTAGTCTGGACAGCTACAACCGCAACCCAATACCCTTCTACTCAACCGCCCCCTTCAATCCCGGCAAGCTTAGTGGAGCCGCTTCCGGCTGCTTTTGCGGCTGTGACTTACGGTTTGTTTGAACAAAGCCCCGTCGGGTTCAAGTGGCCAACTCCAGAATGAAAACGGAAAATGGGCCACAGTAATAATAGGCCAAACGGGCTATGCTCCTCCTGGTTCGTTTTTGTTCTCTATGCTTTGACACAATTAAGGCTTGGGCACGCTAATTTTTGATGCTGTGTCAATGCGGCTGGCCACGCCCACAAATAACAAGAGAAATTTGTTTGCATTTGTCTTTAAGCGAAAATTAAATATGATTCGCGCAGTTGTTGGTGTCATGAGTGAGGTGTTGCTTGTGGCAAGGGTTAGAAAACTGCTGCTGCCAGATGTTTCTTTAATAGACCTGCACACCAACACACACTCTCACACACACATTCACACCCACCCACACACACACACATACACGAGCACAGCGAGACGAAAGTGTGACAAAAAACGGGCGTAAAAAATAAACAAGTCGCTTGTTGGTCGCCCTTTGCTTATCGTTGCCGCTATAGTTACCGTTAGCCCAGAAAACACTGTGAGAAATCAGTGCTGAAAAAGCATTTGAATCCTTTGATTTGCCTACGAGCTGTAAGGTTTCCTGGTTCATGGCTCGAACCTTGCCTGGAGGTTGCTTTTCTTGATGGAATTTATCAATGAACTTCAGATTGAAGTTCTTCCAAGGTGGCTTTGTCATCGCGGATTGGTTCTTCTAACTTATACATAGTTTATATAAGTAAAAATAATGCCAGCCAAGGAAACTCATAAGTTTCTCACAGTGTAGACAGCCTAGGCCCCTAGGCGTTGCATATGGTGGGACATCACACGACCCGCATATCAGCCGACTGCCGTTTGCCTTTTGGCAGTGCCCTACAACAACAACAACAACAGCAACAAAAACACAGTCGGCAACAACAAAAAGCGCGCCTTGGTAAATTTAAACAACGTAAATGGAAATGGCGTTGAAGGGAAAGAAAAAAATGTCACGCAAACGCCGTGTCGAACCTTTTTCATTTTTTTCACGCCTTGCTTTTTTCTATATATTTTTTTTTTTCCTAGTTCGTTGCCCCAACGCGTTGCAGAGCGGCACCAAATGGTGGCAAAGCAATATCTGGCTTCAAGCTTGGCATTTGCCGCTGCTGCAAAACTATTTGCGGGCTCTGCGGCTGGCGCTGTCAAAGGCAATCGGCGCCAGGCAGCCAAATCAAATGCCCAATTTGCGATATTGCGCATACGCCGCGTGTGTTGCGTATTGAAAGAAAAAGTCAAGGCGGCAAAAGAGAAAAAAAGGGACTGGGAGGGGGAAACGCAAACGAATGAAAATGTTAGGCAAAGTGTGTGTTATTTTTCTTTTTTCGTTTCCGTTTTTATAAAATAATGCCGTTTAACTCTATCGGCGGGGACAGCAATTCGTTTGACTATGCCTCAATTTGCTGTCTATTTGTCGGGCAAACATTGCGGGCCGCATGCCACGCCCACAGGGCAGGTCAACAATTTCAATTAGGCGCCGTCGAAAAATGTGCCATAACATATGCGCGCATTGCAGCAGTTAATTAAAATTTAGTTTTCATTTTGGTTTTATGGTTTTAAAGTAAACGTTTTTTTTTTGTGCTAATGCAAATTCCTCATGTGGATTATTAGTGTGTACACAGGTGTGGGTGTGTGGGTGTGTGTGTGTGTGCCACAATCAGTGGCATGCGCTGGCCAAAACGCAACTCTCTCTGTGTATGTGTGCCAAAATATTTTCATTAATTAAAAGAAGCTGCACCCCAAGCGGCAAGCCGCACGGACCAAAGTCAAATGTCAACAAGGCCGCAATTTTATATATATATTTAAATATCAAATATATTTCTTGTGTGCGGTTGCGTATGTATGTATGTATATATTATTCTTTTATTATGTATTTCTATTTCATTTTTCGCTTTTGTGTGCTCTCGCTTTATGCTAATGTCGCCTGGTGGGACTCTGGCGACTGGTGCCATAAAATGTGCTAATACACAGGAAAAGTGGAGGCGCATTTGTAACTTTGCATTTAAAAAAGCATTATGTTAAAATCTGCCTACGGTCATAGTCCGCGGAGAGAAGCACCAGGCGCGGGCGTGTCAGGGCGTGAGAGAGGCGGGCGGACCATAGACGCCACGATGCGCAATTAGATTTCCGCTAAAGCGGATTTCGTGATATCGCGTGACTTGGCGGCCCACAATTCACAGCCAGGCAGCAGCAGCAGCATCAGCAGCAGCAGCGGCGGCTTTGGATTATGTTTAAAAATCAGAGCGCAAAATTGTACAAAATGACAACGACAGGAGCAGAGGCTGGGAGC